CACGGAACCAGTTACAATATTTTACTTCAGTCAGGAAATGAAACGGCAATGCTGGCGACAAAACACCAACTAAAATCTATTTTATTGCAAAAGGAAGCATCAGTACGTCCCTGGAGTGGAAATAAAAGCTTCATTTGCACGTGCTAATCACATCACAACACTCCTGGAAATAAATAAATTCAACAATAATAACTCGACACACTTTTAACCAACCACCAAGTAACAATAACATTTCTTAATATGTGTTATGTGAGAGTTTGGTTGACAGCATATTCGTACATAATTGTTACTCACTCACAGTGAGTAGATAACTGAGATTACAGCAAATGAAACTAAGTTACAGCTAGAATATAAATGAGGCAAACAAACAGCAGCGCAACACGATACCGTTGTATTTGCAGAATTCAGTAGGCCAGACTTCCAACGTGCAAAGCAGTACTGAGTCAGGGAAACGGGTTAAACCGTTTCAACCTCTGAGGGCAGTTATTTAGTCGGGGTGGGCAGAAACCCTTTACGGCGGTGTTGGGGCTTTTTAAACCTTCTGACTTCTTACAGCGTGTCCAGTCGGTTTCCTTTGAAAGAGCACTGTGATTAGCTCTGTGAGGGCTGCGTGCTAACGGGGGCTTCGGGTCCGTAGCTTTCAGCACTGTGTGCGCCACAGCGGAGTTTTCAGCCCGGGTCTCCTAACGCGACAGCACTACTTTAGTCCGACGCAGTGAAATCTCAGTCCAGCCTCTGAACGAGGGAGAAAGAACCCGCGTGTAACGGTGGTGCTAGTTTAACAACAAAGACGCGCAGCAACGAGTGCAGCACTACAACAAAAAGTAACATTTGGTGTCATTCTGCACTTCCTGCCCTGCTGACTAAACACAGCAGCCACGCTGGCAGCGGAGCACTAATACCCCACACACCGCCCTCACGCGCCTGACCGGCGGATCTCCTTGTCAAACAGAGGGCCTGGCGCTGCGAGCTCCCGAGCAGGCCCGCCGACAGATCCACTCATGAAGATTTGTTTAAAGACAATCGACACCACTCAGCCAAAGTGCTGAGAATACCTTCTCCACGGTGCAAATGCAGTCGTTCACGCGTACACGGCATGAATGGCAGAGGTTACGTACCTTCTACAACCTCTTCTACATTTTCATCGTCGCTGTCCATGCTGCAGGAGACCGCTGTGACCGCACCACGGCTTCGACTGCTTTTCCTGCCACCCATGTGGCGTCGTTTGGGGACGGTAACATGACAACCGGGGACACCTTTTTTCACATGCCGCACGTTTCGTGGGCATTTCATTATATTTGCACGGAAATATAGCGTGTTTAAAACTAGTAGGTTATTATTAAAAATAAGAAATCTCAACGAGCTTACTTTAATAAAAAAAATCATAAGAGTAAATAAACTGACAGTGCACTTAGATCCCCCCAGTAGAGCCAACATTTACATAAAGAATTTCTGTAAACATTTAATGGCATTTCTTAGCCGTCGCTGCTCAAAGTGGGGTTTTCTACAAAATAACCATTATAGCTATAAGGTCACATTTTCTTCTTCTTTCTGCACTAAGAAGAAGAAAAGGCCACCTCACCCTAACCTTTTCTGTCACACCAGCGTGTCCTCCATTACTACATCTATGAACGTCCTGTGTGGTCTTCCTCTTTTCCTTGTGCCGGGCGACTTCATTGTCAACATGCATGTGCAAACTTGCTCAGCTTCATCTCCAAAGCAGTCCACCTGAGCTGTCCCTCTGATGTGGTCATTTCTAATGTTGTCAGTGCCGGTCACTCCCAGGGGAAAAGCCCCTTCAGCTCTGCCACCTGTCTTTTTGTCAGTGGCATCACTTCCAAACCAAACATCATAACAGGTCCTACTGCCATTTTGTAAATCCACCCATTCACTCTTACTCCTATCCTTCTGTAACAATCTCTCCATCACCTCTCTATAAAATGCCTCTTTACATGGTTGACTCCTGGTATTTCAACCATTCCTCATTCCCTACATCTACTTGCAGCTTCAGTGTTACACCTGCCTTCTTTGTACGTCTTCATGAACTCTCTCAACACTGTTTCTCTGCATGAAGCCCTACTGCTGCTCGCTGACCGTCACCTCTCTAGCTTCTACTTCGTTGTATGGCTCATCAGCTTGATTTTCCTATAGCTGCATCCTTGTTGAAGATCAGTACCAGAACACTTCTTCTTCGTTCCTCAGGCGTCCTTTCCAAAACTGTGTTAAATAATCTGGTTTAAAAAGTCCACTGCCCTGTTTCTCAGACATCTCTATACCTCCACATGTAAATCATCAGGACTCACTACCTTTCCACAGCTGCCCTCACTTCCTCCTTATACTTCCTGATTCATTAACATTCCTTTATGTCATCCTCTTACTCTCATGTCCATACCTACCCAACATCTTCTCATTATCAATTTTCTTTCACCTACAAATCCACTAAAATCAACCAATCACCACTATGTCCAAACAAAAAATATGTGGTGAAAGCTTCCATACAGATGTAATCATTCATTTCTCAAACATTAAATACATACATTATATTTTGTCGTAGCATTCACATACAATTGCAGTTTATACAGACTATGCCAGGGGTCAGCAACACCCAAAGAGCCATTTGGTAGAGTTGGATGTCTCGAGACCGGTCTTGGTCTCAAGACCACTTTTACGTGGTCTTGGTCTCGACGGACTTTTGTCTACCATTTGGACCCAGTTTCCACAGAAAAGAAAACACTGGGAGCCGCAAATACTTTTTGTCATCTAAAATGAAGATAACACTGTTATTGTTATGCCTTGTATACACCTGTATTGTGTATTGTGTTGCATCACAGAGGATCTCTCCTGGACGTACAACACCACAGCACTGGCCAAGAAATCACAGCAGCGTCTCTTCTTTCTCCGCAAACTAAGAAGAGCAGGAGCACCAGCCCCCATCATGTACACTTTCTACAGAGGCACCATCGAGAGCATCCTGTCGAGCTGCATCACTGTGTGGTTTGGATCCTGTCATAGAACCCTCCAACGCATAGTGAGAGCTGCAGAGAGGATCATTGGTGTCTCTCTCCCCTCCCTCCAGGACATTTACAGCACCCGTCTCACTAAAAAAGCCCTTTGCATAGCGGCTGATCCCACGCACCCAATGCAAAGCTTCTTCAAGCTGCTGCCGTCGGGGAGGAGACTGCGGAGTCTCCAGGCCAGGACCAGCAGGCTGAAGGACAGCTTCATCCATCAGGCTGTCAGGAAGCTTAACTCCCTCCCGATTCTGCCCCCTCTCCCCTCTCTCCTCCACGGTCTCACTGAACTCTGTCACACACACACACTCTCTGACTCACTCACTGGCCTGCACCAGTTACCAGTCACTTTGTGGAGCATTGGACTGCCATTACCTCATAAGACTGTTGTTACACTATCTCTTACCGTACATTACTAAATCTCCATTTGCACTATTTGCCTACTTGCACTACTCTGCCTGGTTTACACCCAATGTCATTTACCCATTATATTGTATATTGTATAGCTTTCTTGTTATATGTAAAATTGTATTGTATTTATTTAAATTTTTACTTTTTAATTATTTTACCTGCATTTTTTAATCACTCTTATATTTAAATGTTCATTTGCTATTTTATCTAGGGATTGAGAGTAACGTAGTTTCTATTCTCTGTATGTCCTGTACATGTGGCAGAATTGACAATAAAGTTGACTTTGACTTGACTTTGACTTATGAAATCAATGAACTGCTACAGAGAAAAATAAATTTTATTTATGGAATGAACACATTTTGAACTCTTAAAAAATATAACACAAAGGAAAGACAGTTGAAGGTCTCTTTTAAATGAATTAAAAAGCTGATCTTAAATTATTCATATACCAAACAAAAACTGTAGCGTTGAGCTGAATTTTAAAAGTAATTGGAAAAATTCACTCAACTGCTAAAAAAAAGAAAGAAAAAGAAATATTTGCAAAATATCTGTATAAATATTTATTTTAAGTGGTTGACGTGTGTGGCGGGGCGTGGTCTGCACGCTACAGGGGAGGCGGACGCACCTGAGCGGCATCCGCAATCAAGCCCCCCCGGCTTAAAGTCTGTGCTCTCTCTGCTGTTGTGTCGACTGTGTGGCTACAGCAACAATGTGTAAAAATGTTCAATAAAGAAAAAAAAGCATGTACATGCAAACATCGCTGGGTCTGCCATGGCGCACAGCGTCTGCAAATCGGGGCTGTACGAAGTCACTTCGTCTTTACGCAGGACTGTAAGCTGCCATCTGTGAGGCGTGAGCGCTGTTTGTTTTTACCGTAGTTCATGGTGGAGAACAGCTGCTCACATACGTATGTGGATCCGAAGCTCCATACTTGGCCTGCCTGGGGTTGACACTCTCCATAAATGCAGGGCATTTCGGCTGATATGGTTTATGCGAGTGTGACGCTTATTTTGAGCGATGATAATAACATATGATTTTATTTTGATATTTGAAGACCACGAGAATCTTCCAATTTACAACTAGAAGTTAAAAAAGAACTAACACAAATAAAATACACTTCAGTTAAATACTTATATATTTTTTCAAACCACGTGGAGCCGCAGGTTGCCGACCCCTGGACTATGCTCTAAGAAATGCCCCCCCTACAGTACCAGGCCTGCAGAATAAACTCACACTGATAACAGTGCGTGGTATACAGTGGCATGATAAATGAAGCTCGAGCCACTGTAATTAATTAAGGACCATCACACTTTAATTGTTCAGTTCTGTGCATGCATTTATACATGTGCATATATGACTGTATGATATGCTGATGATAAACTAACAGCAGGTATTAAAGTTTTAGCCAGGTTTTTCTTGTGGAGTGTTAGTGATAGAGTTCATAGAGAGTTCTGCCCACTCATGGCAGATCTTTAGCTGCATAAGAGTCACGGGACTTTCTTACTTGCACAACTTGTGGGATGTGCTAAAGTCCCTTTGCCCCAGGAAGTACCTCCTATTTGTTATGTAAAGCTGACTTTGTGTTTAGGAGCAAACTGTGAGGACGGCTGTTTTTTCCCAACAGTCTGATGGAAGCGGACTCCCCTCTTTTGTTGGCTGCAGTGTCCCTGCTGTCAGTTCTGCACATGGGTAAGTAAAACACAGCAGCTTAATGGATGTTGTGCATGTCAAGGTATTGTCCCAACTTAATAATAATGTGGGTGTGGTTTCCCACTCCTGTGTAGGTACTGTGCAACAGCAAGACTAGGCAAGTTTTACACTTAGCACTCCACTCATTTAGTGATCATCAGATCACATCTAGGATGCGGATTTCCTCTTGTCAGCAGCTTGAACATGGTTTCCCACACAGAAAAGCACATACATTCTAAATGCAAACAACATCCTTATTATTTTAAATGTGTGCATTTATCAAATCAAATCACTTTTATTGTCACATCACATGTGCAGGTACACTGGTACAGCACATGTGAGTGAAATTCTTGTGTGCGAGCTTCACAAGCAACAGAGGTGTGCAAAGTACAATAACATAAGCAAATATAAGAATGGCTAAATCTGAGAATTATATGAAGAAATATGTGTACAATATAAGAGTGTATGCACATTACTGAATGTGTATACTAAATATGTATGTCTACATGTGTGTATGTGTGTGTGCACATATTTTACAAATTAAATAGAGTTAAAATAAAATAAATATATAAAATCAGAATCAGAATCAGAATACTTTATTGATCCCTGGGGGAAATTATTTGTTTATATATATCTGTAAATATACAGAGGTTGTTAGTTGGATATTGTGCAAAACAAGTGGCATTACTATACAGTACGGAGTGCATAATGTTAAAGTTCCAGTAGTGAAGCTGAGGTGTCTATGACGTGTTCAGCAGTCTGATGGCCTGGTGGAAGAAGCTGTCTCTCAGTCTGCTGGTACGGGACCGGATGCTGCAGAACCTCCTTCCTGATGGAAGCAGTCTGAACAGTTTATGGCTGGGGTGACTGGAGTCCTTGATGATCCTCCCCGCTTTCCTCAGGCAGCGCTTCCTGTAGATGTCCTGGAGGGAGGGAAGCTCACCTCCAATTATCCGTTCAGAGCACCGCACGACTCTCTGGAGAGCTTTGCAGTTGTAAGCGGTGCTGTTGCCGTACCAGGTGGTGATGCATCCAGTGAGGATGCTCTCAATGGCACAGCGATAGAAGGTCCTCCCCTTTATACTAGTTTATTGATTTATACTGAGCAATCTCCACTTTTTACACATATGTTGAGAAGTATATGTTGCCGTGTTTTATAGTATAGTACTCTTATAGTATTTTCAGACTTTGATTCTTGTGGGCCTTTAATGTGGCTTCAAGCGTTTCTTCGCCCAGAAAAATTGTGTGCAGGTTTAACTATCACCAGGCCAGTGTTAACCGGAATTCTTGATCATGGCTGTTGTTGATGCATTTTCTAATGTGGAATCATTCTGAGGAGAATGTCAAAAACATGATAATGCGAACACCACGGCTCACCATGAAGCTCAGAATATTCTTCTGGGTAGAATCTAGACTCTGTAGAGCATTTGGACAACTACGAATCTGCTTTGAGACGGAGGAGCTGAGAAGTGCCTGCTGTTCAACTGACACTTCATGGAGCTTGGTCAGTTTTATCATGGTGGTCTACAGAGAGAAGTTCATGGCTTGGATTTTGTTCCAATGTTCAATTTTATCCCTTGAAAACAAAATCTACAATTTATTAAACTGTGCAAAAAAAAAAATTAGGTAGCTAAAATAGGAAATATACTTGTGAATTGTATAAAGAAACATGTAAAGAAACCTCTGTCACTGTCTCCTCTCAGGCTACCTGGCTCGGCGGGTAGGAAGATCCAGGATGGCTTACAACATCGTACCTCCTGTTGTCACTGGACCTCCAGAATTTGAGAGGACATTCCGTGCACAGTAAGAAGACCTGATTGTAATGCTATAGTCAAATGAACTGAAGGGTAAAACTAGTTTAAACAGACTACTTTAAAGTAGTAGTCTGATTACAGAGTGATATGGGAGAGAATGCCTGAGGAATGGAGAAACAGTTTACTGGTACCACACCATGAAGTTATTCAAAGGAGTTTCTGAAGCTAGGTTAAGAAGAGAGCTGACAATCAGTGAGCAGCAGTGTGGCGGAGGGAGCTGATCTGCAGTCAGAGTAGGGACAAGGTGGAGCTCCAAGGATGTCCTAACATTACCTGTGTTTGTTCTCAGTCAGAACTGTGTGGAGTTCTACCCTCTCTTCCTGGTGTCGATGTGGACCTGTGGTACCTTCTTCAGTGAGGTGATTGCAGCTGCAGGAGGGCTAGTGTACATGGTCGCTCGACAGATGTATTTCAGTGGATATATCACGTCCCCCAAGAAAAGGTCTTTCATGATACTAAAATATCAAATACTTAAAAGCACATGGTGGCAGCGCTGACTTTAAAGTATCTGATGTTTGACCTATTACAGCACGCTGACTGAGTACTTTCTGGTTTGCAGGTTACCTGGCTTTATTCTGAATTTGGTTGTCCTCGGCATTCTGTCTCTGCTGGGTTCGATTGGAGTGCTGCGTGGAATACTATACAAATACTTTCTTATCTAACTTTGAAAAATGTCATCAAACTGTGCAAACCAACAAATAAAGTTATTTGTATTTGGTAGAAGTTTTTATAAAATTATTTTCCAATGTTTATATTTTCAGTTCTTTATAGTTTAGACTAGGTTTACATGTTCAGTTGTTGTTGTTTCTAAATTAGTTTCAGTGTTTGATTCAGTGCTGTATGTTTCCTTATTATTATACTATGTGTGTATTTACAATTAACTTTTCAGTTTTACTTTTCGAGTTAACTATTTTCTTTCTCTATACTTTTAGCTTGGTTTTTATTCATTAATATAATCTTGGAACAAAGACATATAATAGCATAAATATCTGTTAGATTTAACTGTGTGACCATGGCCTGCATAGCTTATCTAAAACAGCATTTTCCAACTTCAAAAAAGGAGTGGCTTTAAGCGATTTACCTTCAAGTGTGCAACACCTTAAGTGTTGTTTCCGGCAAGAACTGTGGTACAATAAAATAACTGCAAACAGTGGAAAAAAGGGGGAAAAGATGAACTATGATGTCGTTCTGTTGTTTGTCCCAGCGGGGTGTACGGCGCCCCCTGGCGGCTGTGAGGTGCAAGTGCCTGATAATAGCCAATGAATTCTAGCACTGCCGAGAACATTCAAGCTGTGCTGAATTACGCTAGTCTTTAATTTTCCTATCGATATTTAGCGCTGCAACGTTTGTTTTTCCACGTCGCTGGGTATGGGTCCTTTCATTTTACGGCTTATACCTAACTGCGTGTGGCAGCTAATTTTAAATTGCCTCCGGCTAACGGTTATTAGCATAGGAGCAGCTAGTTAGCACCACACTGTTAGCACGGTGTGGTTTACTTTGGCCAGCTGGTCTCTTTGATCAGTTTTAAAAATACCCGTGGTTCACGTGACCTTTAGAAGGGTCCGATACCAGACAAACAAGCGGTCATAGGGTTTAGCTGTTAGCATTATTAACGCTGTTGTAGGCACTGTCTCTTAGTCACGGCGCTGCACTGGTGTGCTGAGAATAATAAACTCTTGTTAAAATGTGTTGTTATTATTATAGGTGTGGCAAAAGTGATGATTAAAAAGAATTGTGTGCACCGCATGACAACAAAATGTAAGCGTTTACTGCCAAGTGGCAGCTGAGGCAGCTGCCCAGAGCAGTTTTGGTAAACAGCATTTCATCACGTTGTGTAACATACGTGTGAAAAGCTGTACGGTCGTTTTCAAGCATGCGTAGCTTTTGCTACAAACAGTGGATAAGCTAACTTACAGATATTTAACTGTCAAATGTTCCTGCAGTGTCCCCGAGAGTCGCAGCCCTGCATTCCAAAAAGGAAGACGAGTACTTCACCATGAGCTCAGAGGATGGTGAGACAACACACACACACACCCCTCCACAGTGTGCATGTTCACTCTTTCCTGCGCCTGACGGCTCCGTTCGCCTGCTGCAGGTGACATGGAGAACCAGGCTGAGCTGGAAGAGAAGACCAGGCTCATCAACCAGGTGTTGGAGCTTCAGCACACTTTAGAGGGTAGGCACGTGCAGCCTCACAGCTGTTACCTGCTAAAATGGAAAATGAATTCTTTAAATATAAACTGTAAGGTTTCTTGTGGGGTGGCTTAGACTCGTGTTGCAGCTTCATGTCACGCTGGGATTTGTAGATGAAATTGTGCATTTACATTTTTAAAAGTTGCCCCTAACTTTACGCACTGTAGATGGGCTTTTGGTGGGAAGCATCAGAATGTTGATTTCTCTATGTGAATGTTACTCATAAATGTATCTGTGCCAGCAGAATGTTCACAGATTGATAACACACAGCAACACTGCATCACTCAGAGTGGATTTGAGCTGTTTAGCCTCATTTTTAAACCAGCTTAGTTTGGCCCGTTGAACTCTGCACCGTCTGGCTGATAGTAGAAACTCATTCTGAGAGTTCTGGTTGCACAGTGTTTGAACATCAGTGGGGAAAGGTGACTTCAACACAACCCTACAGTCTCTGCAGTGTGGACAAAGTCCTTGGTGTTTCACGCCAAGTCAGTGGTCGATGGTGGCCTCAGCGATTGCCTTACTTTCTGAATCAATACAAAGCTTCTTATTATGGTTAAATATAATTTCCCTGTTGCACGTGCAGCACTGAGATGTGTTGTGTGAACAGACACACACATTTATTTTGTGTTTGGAGAGTGGAAAGATCAGGAGGTGTGACAGAAATGAAGGAAACACAGAATAGGTGCACCTAACATAACAGTGTTTGCTGAACTATGAATGAGCTTTAAATGTTTTTTTAATGGATTCTTGGATAATGATGATGTTTTAAACTGTAATGAATACGTTTACCACCCTTGTAGTTTCCACATTCCTGTATGGTTGACTGATGTTTTTGTTGACGTGTTCAGACCTGTCTGCCCGAGTCGATGCTGTAAAGGAAGAGAACCTGAAGCTGAAGTCGGAGAACCAGGTCCTGGGTCAGTACATTGAGAACCTCATGTCGGCTTCCAGTGTCTTTCAGACCACTGACACCAAGAGCAAACGAAAGTAAGGAGACCTTCAGAGAGGCCTGACCTAAATCCACCCCTCCACCGTCCCTAACAGAGCCCAGACCGTACCAGAGGACTGGACTCACGGACCCTTTAATACTGCTGAAACCTGAAACCCGTTTCTGTCTCTAACATGTGCAAATAAGGGAATTTGTTGTTTTCGTAATGTGGCTGCAGTGGCCAGTGTTGCATTCATTAAAAGAGAATGTCCAGAAGAAAAAGAAGAAAGGGAGCCCTGATCCAGAGCTGCACATTAATATTAAACCTAACTCACGAGCTGACACACACTTGTCAGGAAGGACAGCTGGCCTGAATCCTCTTCTGATATCTGAGTGCCTGAAATCTGTGCAAGTCTACAGAAGGAAAACATGCTTTGCTGTTTTTCCCACATAATGAGTCCTATTTCATAAAGTACAGTTCTGTGAGGTGTTTAGCACTTTCCTAATTTCTTATTTTCTTTACATATTTGTTACAGATCATCAAAAGTTAGACTTTGAAATGAGTAAAATGCAGTTTTTAAATGATTGTTACACATGTTAAAGCTGTGCAAACCAACCTATGTGGGAAAAGTAATCCCGACTTGATCCGATTGAGTGATGTGAGACACTCGTTGCCACTTAACACAAATAATTGACAGCAGTTGTTGCACAACCAGTTATTTGGTCTTTGGGGGTAATAACCATAAGTAGGGACAGAAAGGTGGGTTTGTATCGTTTATTTCCCTTAAATAATTAATAATCATTTAAAAACTACATTTTATATTTGCTCCGGTTATCTTTGTCTAATATGAACGTTTGTTTGATCTGAAACATGTAAGTGTGACAAATATGTAAAAGACCTCAGGAAGTTGGAGGAACACTTCTACACGACACTGTCAATCCCATTTGTTCTTCTGGAATATCTAAATGATGAGATACGATTCAAGCAGCTGTCACCTGGTTAACTGTAACACCAACTCTGTGGACATCACAGTTAGTCAGTTCAGTTATGTTTGCAAACTCGTGGCACACAAACAGGAAACCGGTGAGATACCTGGAACTAGACTTTCTAGAATCCTGTTGTGTAATGTGTTGATGTAAACAAAGAAACCAGACCCAATCAGTGTGTAAGACGGGCTTCCTGTTTAAGCGACGGTGAGTGCTTTGAGTTTCAGAAAACGTAAGAGCTCAGCTTTTGTGCCATGTTCATATATTCAGACTTTGTTTTTTGGCATTTTGCACACATACAAAGCAAAGACAAAAGTGCAATCTTACACTGGCCTTTTGTGTATCAGCAAACAAGCTGAACTCGTGGTTAGGTTTCCACCTTTAGGAAGCCTGCCGAGGGGCAGCAGTCTTGTGAGCTGTACTGCATGTACGTTTTGGAGTCATTAAATAAATAATGGTTTGCTTTTATATGGCTATTCTGTGAGTGTGACAAAAGTCTCGGTGTTTTCATGTATTCGGTGCTCACAGATGTAAATCAGCAGAAACAAGAATAATAGATTAGCTTCCAGTCAGTGTGGTTAGTGTTACACCTCCTGCAGATCTTCTGATACACAGGAAGGCATCACCGAAGAACTGACACTGGATTACAATTGTCACAGTTCAGATGATGCTTTGAAAATACCGGTGACGTTACTGCTCCTGAGCGCTGCACACAGGCCTGACACACAAAAAGAAAACTTCCACACCACAGATGTTGAAGTGTTTACATTAAATTCTGTCTTCTGCTCTCGATACTTGTTAGTGAGGAGCTTGGCTTGATCTAAGATGGGATTGACACACCTTGTTTTAATTCTGAGTCAGTGTTGCTGCCATTGCTACAGCTCCAGTGGATCTTTGAATGGCTACTTTATTTCCAAACCCCTGGTCTTTGTCATTTCAGCGTGATGTCACTTCCTCTTTCTTGCTGCTTGGGTTGGGATTAAACAACACTAGTGGCACTGTTTGAGTTCACAGCTAAAACCATGATGTGTCATTTTGATTTGAGCCTGTGTGCGCTGATTGATGAACTTCTCTTTAACCATGCTGTATACTGTTTACATTTTGTTCGATTGCCAGTTTGACTTGGCAAGTCTTAGTTAAATAAAGTTACGATCTTTTCATGACGTTTCTAAGTGATATTTCTTGAGCTAACAATCTCTTTGTTTTATTTGCCGCTCACGGAGTCAACTAAAGGTGCTCACCAGGACCTGATACCATCCATTATGCATTTAACAGCTGGTGTATGAATAAGAACACAGAAAGGTGGTCAAACTAAAAAAAGGAAAGAAACTATTTTGGTATATTCAACTATATAATAACGAGAAGAAGAAGAAGAATATGTACAAATGATGACAAAGATGCAATTTAAAATAGTATCTTTGCTACAGTGTTACATCTGCATTGTAAGAGTTGAGTTGTTTTTATGGTTAACTTTGATTCCCTGGGTCTTTTCCTGTGTGTTATAACTTTTCGATATATTTTCATGTGCCTTATATTTGCTTTGTGACTATGTGTCTTATTTTGAAAGAAATATTTACACGTTACCATAGCGACCAGAGAGCATTAAGGGGCAGAGAGGAGGATGCTACTCTCAGTGTTGTTGGCGCATTTCAGGAGGACTAATAAAATAAAGGACTAATAAAGTTACACAATTACAGTGAATTTGCATTTATTATTATATTTACAAGCTACCACAGATTTTGTCTTGGTCGTATCATTTTATTTTGTTGTGTTTATCTGCGACAGCTTAAAGGCTGGTCCGTGAAAATGTTGTCTGACATTAAACCGGTCCATGGCGCAAAAAAGGTCGGGGACCGCTGGTCTAAACAACACTGGATCATCTCGAGTTTGGTGCCTTTCTCATGCTTGAATGGTTCATAGATTTATGCTAAGTGGCTTAACAAACAAAAGATTTCTCTGGAAGTGGTCAGTTAAAAGTTGCTTAGGCTGCTGCCCCCGCGACCCGGCCCCGGACAAAGCGGATGAAGATGGATGGATGGATGGATGGTCAGTTAAAGGACTAGAGTGAAAGTGACCAGTATCAAACGCCACTATCCAAAGAAAGCCTGGAGACCTGCTGCTCAAGAACAAAAAAAATGCAATATTAAATTTTTGCAGATGTGAATGTCAAAATATTTTGCTCGGTTATATTTATATCAGCGGTGCATTAGTATCATTGAGTCAGAAGAAACTACAGTGTGTGTCTAGCTCTCAGGGAACTGATGCAGCTGCTACCTTCTGTGCATCCATATAGCATCAGACTGTGGATACAAACACTACATCAGAATCCTCTGCATGCTTTAATGCTGGATTTTGCTTGCGTCAAGTAAAATATAGAGTGTCACCATACTTGGACAGCCTATAGGAATGGCCTGTATCAGATGCATGATGAGATGAAACTTGACATCTTTGAGCATCAAACTAAAGAGTGCTGTCGCTGCAGGGGATTCTTTGGACTTTGAAGAACCTGTTTTGCGTTTTTTTCATGTAAAATGAGCTGAAATGAAATCCTTACAAGACAACTTGATATTCTTTATTTGTAACAAAAATAGAATAGTGCAGTAATTTACTCAGTGAATAGCTCTGGTGTTACATCAGTGAAACGTTTGGGTGGAGTGAATTTAAGCAGCTAATATGAGCCACCACTGTGGCCAATTTGGACACTTCCATCCAGATGGATGTCCAATTATTCACATAACGCTGTTATTGATAGGATTCACATAACAGGCAGTTTAGGCACATGTAAGCCTTTTATTGGACGTCCATGTAGACAAAGTCTTTGTGCAGCAGGTGGCGCACTAATCAGCCTGAGTGAGAGTTTCCTTCTTGTCTGTGGTCTTCAAACTTTAATGAGTATCTGACAGACAGAAAGAAAAAGAAAAGTGTTAACCACACACAGCATCCACTGACGCCACCACCTACCTCTTCCTGGCTTATTGTTTAGGTTAACAAGTAACACAAAGAAAAACTGAGCTTTGTAGATTTTCACAGACCGAGTTATTGCAGGGAAACCTGCACGCATGCATGAGGTATATGTTGAAACAACTTGGTGCACCTCAGAATAACTTCAGTCAGACTAGCTGCTGTGTGATTGAACGTCTGCATGCCACCACAAGCCCAGTTGTGAAAGTAACAGCGGAGCTCAATAAGGGCGTTTCGTCATAATTTTTTTTTCTCTATTATTTCTGTTCTTTCCAGTCTGACCTCATACTTCATAGGAAGAGAGTTAGAGGTCAGACCGGTTGTACAACAAGCCTGGTTTTCTACCTGATCTGTTTTTAATGAATATTCCTGTTTGATTTAACAGGAACTGAAAGTAGTCTGAAACTATGGGCTCAAAATGTGGTCAGAAATATTTTGTACTTGTAAAAAAGATTTGTGTGTGGACTTAGAAAAAAAAACCCTGCAAGTTACAAGTACGAATTTTGACCCCTATTTTTCTTCCTTTAAGCTGATTGGTCAATGTCATGTCAATCACAAATTAAACAATCCAATCAGAGAACAGATGGGTTTGGCTGTCGAGGGGCGCTTTTTTGAACTGCAGGTCTTTGAAGGGAATAAATGCCCTTTTACATGCCAACCCAGCGGTTTCCTTCATCACCACGAAGGAAAACAGTCTGTGGTCGTCCGAGTTTGGTGATTTTTGTGTCACAGGTCTACGTGTTTAATACAGGGACTTCCACAGCCTTTTCAACAGCGCTGCGGGGTGGGGGCGGGCAGTGTTTTGGAAATGACAGTCTTCATTACAAAGCTTTCTTCGTTATGAATTAGCATACATGTTTTTATTGAACATTTGAAGAACCAGCAAAAAAAACAAACTCTTGTAATAGGGTTGCCAACCGTCCCTTAAAATACGGAATTGTCCCGTATTTCGAAACAAAAGTACACGTCCCGTATTGAGCTAATAAGGGACGCACTTTGTCCCGTAATACAGTGAGAATCAAAAGTAGTCTATAAATGTTAATGGAATTAACACTTTGTTTGAAAACATAATTCCCAGCCCCTCTCCTGCTTTGTGACCAATGCGCTGACAGCACACTTATCGCACACTGTCTGCCCAGCTTTATGCTGGGCAGACAGTGTGCGATTTTTTTTTCAGTCACGTTATTCAGCTCCTGCTCAAACTGCAGGATTGACTCGCAGGGGTTAGAAGTTGGTAGGTCACGATGCAGGTCTCACACTATACCGCCCGATGCTCTGATGCGACCTGAGTGCTCACACTGTGCCTCCATAAAATGAAGGTTATAGCAGAAAATCTGTCGCTCTCTGTCTTTCACTCACACAGACACACCACCATCAACTTTGCTAAATTGCTAATGAAAAACACTCATCAGGCAGCTGTGATTGAGCAGCATGTAAATCCAACTGTTTTCACGGTTGTTGTGTCGTGATCATTTTGTGATGCCACATCGAAAAGGCTCGGATGAGCTTTCCAAAGTTCTACAAGTTGTGCCTCCATCGCTTGTGTCCAGATCACACGCTGCACAGCCGTGCTGCTCCGTCTTTTTCACCGACGTTTACGTGTTTGCGCGTGAGCAGTGTGAGCGGCTCACGAGCGATTGATGATCGGGAGCTGCTCGAGGTGTTAATCGCTTCTCGTTACCCCACGTATACTACACGACGCACGACGAAGGCCAAAAAACGGTCCGATCGCCAAAACGGTCGCACGACTCAAAAATCGTCTCAAAATGGGCCTAAAACCGCACAGTGTGAGCCCAGCATTAGAGCAGCAATGTTTGTTCCCCTCAGAGAAAGGGAAGAATGGGAAAAGGAAAACACCTGGCTGGAAAAAGTTAATATGGGCATGTGCAGTGAATATCAGCGCTATGTGGCCAGAAGTGTGATAATATAATTTATTTTGTGTAATAAACAACTGCAAGGATAGATGATTACAACAAATAGATGACTAATACATAAAAGTAATACATAGATGAATAATGATGAGTTAAGATGCGTAATCATGGGAACAAGCGGGTTTACAAACAGGAGCAGCTGATTAGCTTTAGAAAAGCTGAAATAATACCTCAGCTGAAGCCAATTGTACTAAATGCACTAAATGTGCACTGTTACAAGAATATTTTTCTTTCTATTGTTTTCTATTATTTTAAGTTAAGCAGGACAGAGTGCTTTTAAAGAAAGATTTACTTATATTCTCAAAAGTTAAGCATGACAGGCTTCTGTTTAAGAAGGAGACCTGTTTTACTGTGTTAATGTTGTCATTTTGAGCTAAAAATAAATGGCTAAATGATCATTTGTTTCACATGTGTTCATATCACAAAGAATAGAATATGCATCTACTTAAATCAACTTCAAGTCAAAGGGTTAAAAAAAAGAGCTAGAAAATTCACCACACTGGGAAGGGTGAAGACAACTGGGTCGCCTGGTCCTGGCCACGAGGTGTCCCTTATTTATTTTTCAGGAAGTTGGCAACCCTACTTGTAGAGGACATAAAGTCAGAGATAGAAAAGACAAGGAGCAGGTGCATCTAGTACAGGTAGAGCTGCTGCAAAAACCCACAGAGCCCAGCAGCCAGCAACAAATTCTGGATCCTTTGCTTTTAGTTAGCAGTTAGCATTAGCAGCACATCCTGCGTCCGATGTGAAAGGACCTTTATGCTGCGCACTGTGACTCACAGCAATGGTCCCGGGTCAGCCCTGACGTTGTGTTAAACTAATCCTAAAGTAATGATGGTATTTCTAACCACTGATATACCACAACTTTATCCTTTCAACAGCTGCTGAAAGTTAGGGGACCTAGCTGCTATCGGATATTTATATAGAGATCCTCCAGCTTCAAACTGTATCACCCTTCAAGGACCTGCAGTTCAAAAAAGCGCCCCTCTGACAGCCAAACCCATCTGTTCTCTGATTGGATTGTTACATTTGTGATTGACATGACATTGACCAATCAGATGAAAGGAAGAAAAATAGGGTCAAAATTCGTACTTGTAACTTGCAGGGTTTTTTTGGCACACAAGTCCACACACAAATCTTTTTTACAAGTACAAAATATTTATGACCACATTTTGAGCCCATATGAAACCACAACATTGACTCTTTTCTTGTACTAGTTGCCACAACTCCTGTTTCCTGATGATCTTCAGTGCACTCTGTGGGAGTGGGGGTGCAGCCGTATGTGAAGTGGCTGGGATACTGATGGGAGAAACTGCTGCATCCAGAGCATGTGGCCTACTAGCACTACTGTGAGCTGACCACAGTGGTACTGAGTCCGTTTTAAAGGTTCATCTTAAGAATCAGCAACTTGAATGACAGAAATCCAACAAGATACTTTGATCACATACGTTTCATAACATCAAATTACATCATGTGACATAAGAACAGGGAAGAACTGTTTGTTTGATGGCTGCTTGCTTTTAGTTTTGTGCATTTCTTTTTTTTTTTACTGTTTTTATTTATTTATTTTCTTACACGAGATTGTTTTTAAGTGCATAAAAACACACTTAACACAAGTATTTGGGTCAGACCTCACTCAGCAGAGCCCAGACATCGGAGTCGGAGTGGACCACCAGGCGCAGTGCAGAGACCGGCTGCAGTGCTGCTTCAATCTTTCCTTCAGCTAATCCATTCACAAATTCACCTGGAAACACACAGCAGTAGGTTGGTTGTGTGTGTGTGTGTGTGTGTGTGTGTGTGTGTGTGGTGTGTGGGGGGGGGGGGGGTGTCTATAAAAAGCACAGGTAACAGAGTAACTTCCTTTTCTCATATAATGCAAAAGATTTTTCAAACATGCGAAATACTTAGTGCTGTGAACACGTTTAGTGGTAATAAGAACAAACTAAACGTAAGTTTGGTACTCTCCCAGAACAAGAACACCACAAAGGGACTGGCTAACAGAGGCAGAACAGTCCTGATTATGAAGGATCCCTACAAGGCTGTGACACCATCAAACTACTGGCCAATTACCTGCCGCTTTATAACAGGGAAGCTTCACTCAGGCATCACAGCAGAGGTTCAAAGCACCAGCTGCTGGTACAACAGGTAGAGCAACCTGAGCAGCGGCTAAATGTACAATAATATTTCCCTTTTAGAATAATAAGTAGCTACTTCATCCTCGGCCATACAGCGTTTAATAGGAACCTGTTGGCATGCTTTTCCTTCTTCATTAGTTTCAACCCTCTCCAGGCAGGCGTTGCAGATTTACAACAGTTAAAAACTAACAACCTGATTCCCCCACATACATATTTTATGAGGTCTTTTTACTCAGAAGTACCACTGCAGGACTTGGTTGTGCATTAGCAACTAAAACTTAATTTGAGCCTGAGAGGGTTAACACAGATGGTTGATGAATAATGTGTGATTGCTGCTAAATGTACGATAAATGAGTGTTTTTGAGACGCTGGGAGCCCCTTCCTTTGGTTTATGCACTTACCAACAATGATGAAGCCATTGCCCGACTCCCTGTAATGAGGAATGGCCACTTTGTGTCTTGCCAGCACCTAAAAGAAGAAAACAAGTATCTCAGGTGTAAAAGGCACAACACTGACATTTGCCTATCATTTGGAGTTCAGCATGATCAGCAGGAGCTGTGGTATTCCAGAGACAGCGGGTAACGTATTCCCCACAGAAGCAAACATGGATGATTATATTTTAAAAACTGTGCCACAGACGAACAACAGACCTCAGACCTCAGAGTCGTGGTCAATCACATGACCACTTCAAGATGACAAAGCAACAATGTGATATATACCAGGTTTTAAATTGTGTTGATGGGCCAGTAAAACCAGAGTCATGATAAAAAAATATGTACGCGTGTTTTTTCCTGAATAGTTTCGTCACGTTTAACGTCTAAAGACAGCGCAGCGAGCGCTCTCTGCTTATGAGCAAAACATAAAAAACTAAACAAAAAACAGCCCGTTCGTGTTGGTGGAAAAATGCACCATGTCGACCAATCAGAAATGACATGGCAACATGATGTTTGGTTGTTTAGGAAGAGAGAGAGAGAGAGTTTTGAGATGTGACGTTTAGCGTGTTTGGAGTGTGTAGTTCATGTGTTGTCTTGTGTAGTTAGCGTGTAGTGTTGTGGATAGTTTTGTGTTGTGTGTCAGAACAATGAGGCGACTGCTGTCTCCAGGTAGAAACAGGAGTGACACACCTGCTGCTGTCAGACCTGCAGGTATCAGGCTGTGATGTTTCCTTTATAGTGGACAGAAATATTTGCAGTGGCACAAATAACTTGTGTGGCATCTTATTGAAGAACAGCTGATTGTTCTGTAAATAGTTTATTTTATTTTTTTTAAAAAGGGTAAAAGGTAAATGGCTGCAAATATCTTTGTTGTTTGCAAAACTTGTGCACATGAAATTTAAAGTTATGAAATATGATTCAATAAACATGATTGTGGTTGTTACAGTAAAAAATATAAAATCCGAGTAGAAAGTTATATTTTTTGTCTGATTGTAGATCAATTGTGTTACTACAGTTTGTCAAAATGAAAACATAACTGTAAATTCAGACACGTGAGGAAGAAAAGTGGTTAAAAATGGCCAATTATACCCTGGAGCCCAGAGGGCTAAACTTTTTTTTTTTTTTAAAGTAACGCAATAGTTACTTTTCAAGTAATTAATTACTTTTAGAATCTTCTAACTCACTAACTCAGTTACTTTTTTGAAGAAGTAACTAGTAACTATAATTACTTTTTCAAAGCAACTTGCCCAACACTGGTAATGCTGCCCATGTTTATGGAACAATTACGAACTTGTAAATTTACGTAACGACCACACGTGTTGTCTTTTTGGTTACCTTACTGCTTTGGCATTTTTACAGGTTTTTATGAAGTCCTATCAGGACATGTAGTCAGAGTCAACGAGTAATATAAGGGGAGAAATCATGCGATTATATGTCATCATTTGAAAGTGTAAACTCAGTACAAGCACTAGTACCGTTTCCAAACTGAAGGTGTGCCAAGAAGACGTCACCACAAGAAGACTGAGGACGCGCAGGCAGTCTTCTGCAGAGTTTTAGTCAGTTTTAAGCTGAGGTTTGCGCGACATATTCCCGACAGCTCTCTACCCATACAATCAGAATAGACTGCACACATAGGTGCCATCTGTCTCTGATGTCATAGCACTTCAAAATGAGAGATGGCTCAGGGTCATGTGATTTAGCCCCAACTATAAGGTTTATCCAAAAGTTTTGAATCTAATCTTAAAAGAAGAGAGGATGTCTGTCTCCCAAATCCAAACTGGTAAGACATCATGGTATTAGAGAAATAACTCTCTCTCTGTGCTCCCACTGCAGCATTTTGAATTAACTGGAGGCTTTTCAGGAACTTTTAGAACAACCTCCTAATCCTGGTCTGCAGCAGTCCAGCCCCAAAGCATCGGCATCACTCGGAGACAGGATATAACTTTAGAGATGCTCTGTGGATGAAAGCAGCGCTACATATTTGCTTCATTTGGACCCTGAAGGACAAGATTTCTCTCAGTGTTGCTGGAGGCTAAGCTAATGCCATCCTGGTTAGAAACAATGTTACTAAGATTTTTCAGGTCGAGTAACATAATCTCAGTTTTGTCTGAGATCAGAAGTAAGAAATTAGAAGTCAGCCAGCCTTTTATGTCTTTAAGACATGACTTTGAATCAGCAGTCCAACGTTTTTTGCGCCACGTGTCGGTTTAATATCAGACGGTATTTTCACCTTTAAGCTGTCTTTGATAGGACAAAGACAAAAACTGTATTTTGTAAATATAATAATAGCAAACATGAATTCACTGTGTAATCGTGTAACTTTGTTAGCAGCGCCCTCCTGAAATTCGCAGACAACACAGAGTAACATCCTCCTCTCTGCCCCTTAACGCTCTCTGGTCACTATGGTAACGTGTAAATATTTCTTTCAAAATAAGACACACAGCTACACCACGGGAAAAGACCCCGGGAAACAGAGTTAACCATAAATTTCACACCTGAGCCCAACTCTCCCGGCCCGGTACCAAACGGCTCACAGACCGGTACCGGTGCCCTGGTTGTTGGGGACCGCTGCTTTAAATTGGTGTCATCCAGCTTCATAGCTCAATACATCTGGGTATGACCCGCAAAAATAAAATGTATACGTATGCAATAAAATGTACATGTTTTTTTTCTTTGTGACTGGAACATTTTATTTGTGGTGAAATTCATTATTAGTTCAGATAAAACAGGTAAAAAAGGAAGACTTGGCCCTGACTGTCAGCCTGGCAACAGTGCTGAAAGAAGCCTGGGGTTATCTCATTTTACTACATCAGTAGCCAGTAGTAAAATGACCTAGTCTGTGGAAGGGTTTTTGTAGAGCTGCAAACTATCCTTCCGTGCAAAACAAAGTTCTTTTAAATGAGTGCAATGTCATTTCCTCTCCAGTTTTCAAGTTATCTGTCTTACATCAGGGGATCAAACCTCTGATTTCAAGCTTTTTTCAGAGGAGCCACAGTTTTCTGCAACGTATGCAGTGAGGATGTAACACGAGATATTTGACTTCTGAGAATAACATTTACATAGCTGCTCTACATTATTGTGGCATATTCTTCCACTGAAGAAGATAAGAAGGAAGCACCTTTAAAAAAAATTATTACCATGCTTTTTATTGTTTTTTAATGTCTCTGTAAAGAACTTTGAATCACCTTGTTGTTGAATTGTGCTATATAAATAAACTTGCCTTGCCTTACAGCACTTTCCTAAAAAAAAAAGAAGAAGAGTGTACTGAAACTGTGCAGTCCATTATTGTAAAATGGACGTTACTGTCCAGACAGATTTGGGTTATTGGTCAGTTTCTATGTCGTGTGTGATCAAAACAGTCAGTCAGTTCATTCATATTTAGCAAAGAGTAACAATGCAGTGTAGGGGTTGTCATTTGGCGCATCCACGTGAATGTTATGAGCAACAATTCAGGTAAAAAGTCTAAGAAATCAGACAGAAACAAAACCAAACTTCTTCATGTGTTAGAGGGTAACAAGGCCAAGAGTGAGGCTTTCAAATGAATCATGAATCTGTCAAATTATTTGGATTTCTTGATAATTCTTTGAGTAAAAATTTGCTGCCACTCGTCCTCAGCCTGTGCTGTGAGGACCCAGATAGCGGTTTAGCAGAACTCTGGGAGGGTTATTCATTTAGACAAATTCATCCAGCTGCAGCCAGGTTTTTGAAGGAAAACAAAATAAATCTGTATTTTGATCAATTATTAAATCATTTATTAACTTAGAAAAGAGTAACATAATACTGGATAGTCCACATTTGATCATTTTACTGTTTGAGTCAAAAGTTCTATTTAGCTGATCTGGGAACAGACACGGACTCTGGGGACTAGTGATGTCATTCTGTTAAAATACATAATGGCAAAAAGAAACTAGCCCTCGCAGTCAATCACGATCACTTATGAGAAGTTTAAAGGCCTCAGCTGCTTATGCTGTGTATCTTAGACAAACTATACAGACTTGGTGTAATTTTCCCGGGTACACTCTGTGCTATGAGGCCTGATCAGACATCCACAATTACTTTGCTTCCACATCTGCAGCGTTATTGTTTGAAACGGCTGTTTTATGGTTGTGATCAGTTGCACAACTGTGGGATTTGTCTGTGCGTGACTGCGACTGAAAAACTTGTTGTGAGTGGTGATAGTTTCCATCTTATCTATTTTAATTCTTTTTATCACATTATCCCTCTGTTCAGCACTTTGGCCGACACTTGATGTCTTTTAAATGTGCTATATAAATAAAGATGACTTGACTTGAGTCACTTGGATGAGATGAAACGTTTCTCCCACTGACACTGCTGTGTGCAGATGAGCAGAATCAACTGTCCTGGCCTTTAAGGAACCACATCTAGCACTGGATATTTCATAATAAAAAATAAAAACAGAAATCTTGTTCCAATCCTTTGTTTGTTTGTTGTTATTGTGAACTGAAAAGCTTGTGGACCTGAAACTAAACGATGAGGTTTCCCTCTTATCTTCCACACAGGGATTCCATGTCTGTCTAACTTTACTCAAAGGCCACCGCTGGCCTGACCACTTTTCCCCTTCAGCGTGACACACACACACACACACACACACACACACACACACACACACACACACACACACACACACACACACACGGCTAAATAGAGGCAGCAGGCTGATAGCAGATAGCTTGTTGTGGTAGATGTTTCTTGTTGCCTTGCTACTCTTTTCATCAACACCCGAGATGAAAACCAAGACCCACTCAACCGCAACATTAGAACTAAAGAATACACGCCCAGAAAATAAGCACACGCACACACACACACAACTAAGGGAACAACTAAGCTGTAGTGCCTCTTCACCTCACTGTGCAATACCTTGTGCAATACTTTTTGTAAATAGTCAACGGTGCAATAGACCTCAATACTTGAAATGTGCAATTCACTTGTATTTTTATTTTTATTCCTATTTATCCCCTTCGTATATTTTATTTATATTTGTCTCTGTATTTATATATATGTGTGTGTGTGTGTGTGTGTGTGTGTGTGTGTGTGTGTGTGTGTGTGTATATATATATATATATATATATATATAAAATATTCTGTAACTCTGTAACTTCTGTCGGTGTTGTGCTTTTGGAAACCGAATTTTTTTTTTTTTTTTTTTTTTTTTTTTGGAATTTCCCAGAGGAACCCACCCGAGGGATTAATAAAGTTCTATCTTATCTTATCTTACACACGTTACTCACACTGCTAGGCAGTACTTCCACTGTTGTATTGAAGAATTTATCTCCATTGGTCTCGATATTTCCACTGCGAAACAGGTACCTGCATTGTTAAAGAAAAGAGCACAGGTGGAATATAAATACACCAAACTGGTAACATCTACACACAAAGATGCTCCTGGGCTCAAATCCTGCATGCAGCATTATTATCACGTCATATCAGTTTCATTTCTAAATTACATTTTCCTTTAAACTGGCGTTCATGTTCATTTGTGCAATGAAAAAAAACCCCCAACAAACTTCAACCTATCACTTTAAACTTTACTGCTCTAACATACAGAAATGATTCTGAATAATAACTGAAACCTGTGCAAAGATGTTTTAAACTGCTACAGCATCACTTGACAGGAGGAAAATATTTAAAATTGAACAAAGAAACTGTCATTTTTCTAGTTTTCGTCTTGATGCATTTTTGTAGTTGGTTCATATTATGGAGGGAAGTCATTCTTTGGAACCAAGCAAACAGCTGTGTGACTACCAGACAGTCCTGTCAGCACAGGATCACAGTCTGGCACATGTACTGTACAGGAAAAGTCATGAAGCTCATACAGTTAGAATGTTGACTTTCCAGAAAGACGTGCTGCAACCAATCATCGCTTTTTGTTCGACCATAACAGCACAGGTTTCACAAAACGAGTGACATACTGACTCTGATGCTCCAGTTTCTCTTTACTTAGTAGCACAAGGAGATTTAAACATTCTTAGGAAATACATCACACATTAAATAATCAGTTCTTATCAAATTTGGTAGAGAATATGAGTGCTAACGTTTTTTAAAAAGATTCTCAGATTACTATCTGAGTATCTTTTTCCTGTGCAGTATCTTTGATGTACTTAAGACTGCGCTCTTCTGGAGCCACTCGCCCAGTTTGGGCGTCACTGCCCTGAGTACTCCAATTACCACGGGGACTACTAATGCGTTCACCTTCCACATCTTCTCTCGCTCTTCTCTCAATCATTGGGACTTCTTGAGCCACCCATATTCCTTCTTCCTGATATCTGTTAGTTACACATTTTAAATCTCATGTTTTGAAAGCCCGGTTGGTTAGCCATCACCGTTTGTCTGTACATGTTCCACAGAATCTTAGCTCGGTCATTTTCAATCACCCTAGCGGGTGATAGTATACCGATGTTTCGGTATACTATGGCAGCCGCTTGGTTATGGCGTTCCATGTATGCTAGCATCTTGCACCAGCCTGCACCTGGGGTCTTGCCTGGTGTGATAGATCCCAGCCTCTGTGCTGTCAGACACTTCCTCTACCTGGTCCATTATGGTTCTTCTCCTTGCTCCTCTTCTTTCTCTGGTTTCTCACCAAGCACGTGGTTGGTTGTGGCCATCTTCCTGATGTACTCCTGGGTTTCTTGGGGATAAGGGCGGTCCGGCCTTAATTTTGGGTGCATCTCATCCGGTAGCAGCTGGTTCCTTTGTGCTGCTAGACATTCACTGAGTGCAGTTAGCTTCTTTAGCCAGCAGGAGTGAATCATGTCAGGGTGTGCTGCTGTCCAACTCTTTATAGTGGAAACCTTTTCTTGGATTTCTGCCATTGTGATGGTTGGTCCTGTTTAGGGAGGTTGCTGTGGTCTATTCTTAGATCCACTAGTCAATAAGGATTGTTGTTATACGTTGTGTCCTTCTCCTATATGTTCTTCCAGTATTGCTCCGTCTCCAGACTCTATGGGGTTGTTCTCACATTGCTTCCCTACTACTGAGAGTACAGCTTGGATAGTTCAGTGGGGCAGGGCTGGTTTATTCTCCTGGGTCCTATCGGTCTTGTTCAAGCAGTTAGCCAAGGCTTTGAGTCTTTGTTTGACTGTCTCTAAGGCCTCAGGTAGTGGCAGTTTGTTGTACAACAATCTGCCACTACAATCTTCATTAATCCTTTCTGCCATTCTGATAGTTGGCTAACCTCCCTCCATGCAGCCTTGATTTCCAGTTTTCCATGGAGGGTACGGCTCCTTGTAGCCGTTGTTCATCTTATAGTCAAGCATCTGAATGATCACCAGTATTGGGGAGTAATGGAATACATGTACCGCCGTTACGTATTTAAAATACAAACTATGAGTAACTGTATTTCGTTACAGTTACCATTTAAAAAGGTGGTATTCAGAATACAGTTACTTTGCTGAAATAAAGGGATTACACGGCGGTCTTTTCCTGTTTCATATGTTCGGCTATGCCCTCTCTATTTTTGGTTTCCACGCCCCAAACAAAACAGGCATTAAGAGGCTCTAATGTCTGTGTCTCAATCTCGCCGCCCATGTCACCACTGCTTGCAGCAGCATAATGACGTGAAGAAATATGTTAAAGAATTATTCACAAAAATGATTTAATATGAAGGCAGAGTGTTACAGGCATCGCCCTAAAGCATGCAGCCTGATGGGCAGTGTAGTCCGTGCTGCAGGGAGAATGGACTGCCATACCCGTTATGTGTCTGTGAGCGAGGAGGGAGAGAAAGGAAAAGTACGAGCTGTCACCGAGCAGAAACGGGAGCTGGAAGCAAGTAAATATAATAATAACCACTGCAGCCAAGAAGAGAGCCTGACGAGCCCAGCTGTAAGTAAGCTATTAAGACTCGACTGTACGCTGTGTTCGTGTTTTCCTCTGAAACAATAAGCTCCGTTGGAGCAGCCTTTCAACGCCTCTTTCTAAAACTTGACCCAGACAACAAAGTAAAGCTAGTTTTCGGCTACGAGCCCGACGTATTAGCCAGAGGTCCCTTTACTACGGTTTGGAGCCGCGGACCTGTTTTATATACGCGAGGAATAGTTTTCTATACGAGATCGCTGCAAATATATTCAGATTTAAAAATCTAGTTGGTATTGATATGGAGAGTAACCTTCAGTAAAAGTAATAAATCACACAGCAATAGTACATTCATGTAGTTGTAAAAAGCAAGATAATATATTAAGTAATCCAAAGTATTCAGAATACGTTACTGTCACTGAGTAACGTAACGGAATACGTTACAGAATACATTTTGGGGCATGTATTCTGTAATCTGTAGTGGAATACATTTTAAAAGTAACCTTCCCAACACTGATGATCACTGTTGCTGTGGTGTACATCAGTCAGTTTCAGTAATGGTCACAGTAGGGATTGTTTCTAATGCTGCATTCACATCGTCTAGTAGACTTTCAGAGGGTACTTCATGTTTTCCAGCTTAGCCATGACCTTCACTTTCGGGTCAGCTGCTCTCACATTCAACACCTTCGACGCACCAGTTGCTATTAGGGCTTGGTACCCAATCTCTGAGGGTGGTGATAATGACATTTCCCCCTGACCCAACATCCTAGCTCTGCCTTGCCGCAGCATTTGTGCTGTACCTTGTCATCCTCTAGCTGCTGCTTGTTTCATGCGTGTGTATGAATGAAAGCAGTTTGTAAAGCAGTTTAATGTGCAGACTGGGTCACCATCATTTGTGTTTTTGTCCTCTTCTTTTCTTCTTTTTTTTTTTTTAAATAGAAAACATTCATTTGCAAAATTTACAGAATGTATGGAAAATAACTAAACAAACTAACCCAGAAGTGTAGACTGGCTGGGAGAAGTTGAAGAGGATGTAGTCACCCTGGAGGGGAGTTATTGCCCAGAAGAAATCTCGTCCTTCGTAAGCACTTTTCAAACTGTGCGTCTGGTAGTGTTTCAAAGTGCTGCTCACCTCTGCAGGTGGGTTATTGTGAGCCTTGTACAGCGTCTGCTTCCCAAAGTCTTTGTCCTGAAGTGGATAAGAGAAAGAAGAGAAAAATATCTTTGCACATACCACAGCACATCCACAGGCGAGAACACTTAACAGAAGGCCGCTGAAGGCCCCATCCAAAGTTGTGTTTCTTAATGTTTACAGGCCTCCCAAATACTGCACAGACTTTTTTAATGACCTCAGTGAACTTCTGTCTGTGATCTGTGTTGATTTTGACTGTGTAATTATTGCTGGGGATTTTAACATTCATGTGGACAACCCTCAGGACAAAGGGACTAAAGACCTGAGTAACACTCTGGGCAACTTTGGGCTGACTCAGCATGTAACAGAGGCCACACATAATAGAGGACACACTCTTGACCTACTGATCTCCAAAGGCCTGAGCATTTCAAAGGTTACTGTGTCTGATGTGGGCCTGTCTGATCATTACTGTGTTTTCTTTGAAAGTAAAATCTCAGCCCACACAAATATATCAACAACAGTGATCACAAAACGGTGTATAACTGAACACAGTAGTGCAATTTTTAACCAGGTCTTCCCATTAACACCTGACCTGCCCAGAGGGTCAGTCAATGAGCTCGTCAATAACTTCAATGCTAACATGTTAAATGTAATGGACACTATTGCTCCCATTAAGGTGAAGGTTATCTCTGGAAGGAAAAAGTCTCCATGGAGAAACTCCACACTGGTGAAAAATGAAAAAAGAGAGTGTAGGAAAGCTGAGCGCAGATGGAGAAAAACAAACCTCCAGGTTCATTATGACATCTATAAAGAGAAACTTCACAATTATAATTTACAACTGAGGAATGCAAGGAGGTCCTACTTCTCTGACATCATCACTAAAAACAGCCATAATGCTCGGGTCTTATTTTCTACAGTTGACAGGCTAACAAACCCTCCTGTGTCAGTGGCAGCTGAACTTCATTCGACCATGGCCTGCAATGACTTTGCCAAATTCTTCACTGAAAAAATCCAAAAAATTAGACAAGCAATTGGTACATCAACAGCAGATCCAGGATATGTACTGTGTCCACCGAAAAACTGTTTAAACACCATGAAACAGTTTAAACCTATTAACAGCAAAGACCTGGAGGACATCTTAGGTCAACTGAACTCCTCCTCCTGCTGTTTAGATGTCCTGCCAACAAGTTTTTTCAAAAAGGTCTCAAAGACTTTAGAGTCAGACCTGTTACAGATCGTTAACTTTTCTTTATTATCAGGTGTGTTTCCAGAATCACTAAAAACTGCTGTAATTAAACCTATACTGAAAAAGGACAATCTTGACAAGACACAAATGAACAACTACAGGCTGATCTCAAATCTCCCATTTTTAAGTAAGACCATTGAAAAAGCAGTTTCTCAACAGCTCAATTACTTCTTAAAACAGAATAATTGCTACGATGCCTTCCAGTCAGGTTTTAGACAGAACCACAGCACTGAAACCGCTCTGACCAAAGTGTTTAATGACATATGTCTGAATACAGACAGTGGAAAAATGTCAGTCCTAGTTTTACTGGATCTCAGTGCAGCATTTGATACAGTTGACCACAACATATTACTCAAACGACTGGAGAACTGGACAGGTCTTTCAGGAACTGTACTAAACTGGTTCAAAACATACGTAGAAAACAGGAAATACTTTGTATCAATAGGTAACTTCACATCTGAGCAGACAAGTATCACATGTGGAGTTCCCCAAGGTTCCATCTTGGGACCCCTTCTGTTTAACATCTACATGCTCCCACTGGCACAGATTATAAACAACAACAAAATAAACTATCACAGCTATGCAGATGACACACAAATATATATCACAATGTCACCAGGAGACCGAGGCCCTGTACAGGCTCTTGGTAAATGCATTGAGGAAATCAATGACTGGTTGTGCCACAATTTTCTCCAGCTAAACAAAAACAAAACTGAGGTAATAGTCTTTGGCGCCAAAGAAAAACGATTACAGGTCACCAGAGAACTTCAATCTATACATCTAAAAACCACAAACCAGGCGAGAAATTTGGGTGTAGTGATGGATGCAGACCTAAACTTAGAAAAACACATTAAGACAATAACAAAGTCAGCTTACTATCACCTCAAGAATATTTCAAGGATGAAAGATCTGATGTCTCAACAGGACCTGGAAAAACTAGTCCATGCATTCATCTTTCGTAGGCTTGATTACTGTAACAGCATCTTTACAGGTCTACCTAAAAAATCAGTCAGACAACTACAGCTCATTCAGAACTCTGCTGCTCGAGTCCTCACTAAGACCAAAAAAGTGGACCACATCAGTCCAGCTCTGAGGTCCTTACACTGGCTGGCTGTCCGTCAGAGGATAGACTTTAAAGTTCTGATGCTGGCCTATAAAGCTCTGAATGGTTTAGGACCAAAATACATCAATGACCTCCTGACCCAGCATGAACCTTCCAGATCCCTCAGGTCATCTGGATCCAGTCTTTTATCAGTTCCCAGAGTCAGAACCAGACACGGAGAAGCTGCATTCAGCTTATATATATATATATATATATATATATATATATATATATATATATATATATATATATATATATGTGTGTGTGTGTGTGTGTGTGTGTGTGTGTATGTATGTATGTGTGTATATATATATATATGTGTGTGTATATATATATATATGTGTGTGTGTGTGTGTGTGTGTGTGTGTGTGTGTGTGTGTGTGTGTGTGTGTGTATGTATGTATGTATGTATATATATATATATGTGTGTGTGTGTGTGTGTGTGTGTGTGTGTGTGTGTGTGTGTGTGTGTGTGTGTGTGTATGTATGTATATATATATATATATATATATATATATATATATATATATATATATATATATATATATATATATCTATATATATATATATATATTAGGGGTGCAACGATATTCGTATCGATATTGAACCGTTCGATACAGTGCTTTCGGTTTGGTACGCATATGTATCGAACAATACAACATTTGTAATTTATTTTATCAATTTTCCTTCTGACGATGCTGTCTGTGTTGAGCGCTCAGTGAATCTGCATTCGACTACTCCGCCTAGGCTGCACTGTCGAGCCTAGGCGGAGTAGTCGAATGCAGATTCACTGAGCGCTCAACACAGACAGCATAGTCAGAAGGAAGAGCGCAGGGCAAGCTAGCGAGACAGAAGTTAAGCTCCCCTTGTAACAGGCAAATTGAACCTCATTCAGATCTGGCGTTTGGAATTATTTTGGTTTTCATGTGACGTATGACCCTGAAGGTAAGCGAGTCATGGACTAAAGTAAAACAGTATGTTGGATGTGCCACGCAATGCTCAATTACATTGGTGTGAACTAGTGTGTTAGCGCAGTTAGCTCGTTAACGTGTTGGCTGTCTAGCCCCATGCACGGGGCGATCGGCGGTAGCTCGTTAACGGAGATTTGCCGTGTTGTGGCGTTAAGGTCATTTCAACAAGATTAACCTGAAAGCACTAGTGGGAACACAACGAATATGACTGCACATTTACGCCGACATCATCCTAGTGCAAAGACAAGTGGAAGCAGACAAAAACAACAAGCACGCATGCTACAAACTTTACCCGAGTCATTTAGACAGCTGTTAGCACAGGATTCTCCTTATGCTGCTGAGAATATAGCCCAGAAGAAGCGGATAGTATAGCTTTTATTTTGGAAAGAGCCATTTCTCTGTAATAAACTCTCTTTTCCAAAGATGAGTGATTCCTCAATCAGATACAGGGCTCGCAATATCGCTAGCCCGACGTCCCGGAGCTAGCGATTTTTTCAGTCGGGCTACCAAAATCTATCTCTGCCCTGCCCGTCGGGCTATTGTAGGAAAAATATATGTCAATGCTTTTGCATTCTTTCAGAAATGTAGCTGGGTAATTATGTCATTGGCATCGGTGAGCCACTGTCAATATGTGACATATTGAAGTCGCGTTTGAATTTGCGCTTGTTTTTTTGCTTTCACTTTGCAATTGCGTGAACTGTGTATAGAGAGCGACAGCACTGATCTGTGAGTGATGATAATTTGTGCACCAATTCCTCTGACATCATCTTATCAATCGTTAGCTTACTATGCAAACATGACAAGTGAAATCTCCCGCAGCAAGCTTAAACATGTGAGAGGTTGATCGCGCAGAGAATCGCTGAGCTTATGTGAGTGAGCGTGTAAAAGCATTTCAGTTCTGCTGAGCCAAATAAGACAGGTCAGGGTGAAGAAGTGACAGCCAAAGAAAAGCTTACCACAAAACGGAGAAGTTATGACAAATCAGACTATAAGGCAAAAAGAAAGTGCAGCTTTATGGTTTCATGGACAAAAGAATTTCTGTGGCTGCAATATGATGAGCTAAATAACCAGGGCTGCACATAAGTGGTCCGCAGGTGTGCATTCGCTGTCAAAATAAAAAACACGCACAAGGGTTAGGGTTAAATTTAAAAACTGTACTTTTGAGTTAAAATATATATTTATAATTTTAATAAATGACAAATAAAAAATGCATGAACATTTTTTTTGTATCGAAAAAATATCGAACCGTGACACCAAAGTATCGAACCGAACCGTGAAAAAACCCTAAACTTCCAGCAAGCACCGAGTAGCTACGACGTAATGGGAAACTCACAGAGAAACTCGCAGATTCTTCCACTGACCGCAGCACACCTGCACCAGGGTAAACCTCCGCCTACCGCACTCCTGCTTTACAGATGAAAATAGAGCAACAGGACCGCTGAGTCTTTGACTTTATTTATTTTCTGCTGTGTTTTACTTGCATCTATTTGAAAGACTGAGTGTAAACACACAAAATATTTTATTTTATGTGCTGGAATGTGCAGAAAATAGGTTTAAATGTTAAACTAATTTCTTCCAGTCAGAGAATATTGCATATAATTAAATCTTTGCTTGATGCATAAAGTTAAAAGATTAAAACTAATAAAACAAGTTAAAAAAGAGACTTTTCCATCTGATTACATTTTGTATGATGGATTATGCAGAAAAAGTAGAATTGGGCTGAAAGATCTATCACTTTATCACCTCTTCAGGTTGTAAATCGTGTTTTTAAAAAGTAACTAAGTAACTAAGTAATTAATTACTTTTGAAAATAAGTAATCAGTAAAGTAACGGGATTACTTTTTTGGGGAAGTAATCAGTAATTAGTTACTGATTACTTTTTTCAAGTAACTTGACCAACACTGATTCCAACACCCTGAATCTTTTCTTTTTCAGCCCTTCAGTTTGTTTCTGTGCTTGGTGCCGTTGTCCTGTTGCATTACCCAAATTAGCCCAGGTGTTATCTTTACATCTGGCCTTACATTCAATTGGAATAGACTTTGGTATAGGGAGGAGTTCATGGTCAACTTGGTGGCTTCACAGATGGTATGAGGAATACATGTGGATGCACTGCGTTTTGTTTTCACCAAATATCCCCAATGGCTCTGACAGATAAACCTTCATATCCATCATGAAACACGTTTCCTGGGAGTCAAAGGAACTTTTTTTTTTCTTCTTTAGGTCACGAGCAGTTGTCCAAGCATTTCACTGCATATCGTACTGTGTATGACTGTGTATGTGACAAATAAAATTTGAATTTGAATTTGAACTATTAAATCCGGTTCTTTTGTATTCTTTACGGCCAAGAAAGACACAGCTCAGAAGTGGTCCTTTTACTTTAAAAATGATCTCTATTTTACATATCCTTGATATGGAGACCTGAACACAAAACACACAACCCCAGGTCTGAAGCACAAACGGAGGTATTTATATACTTGCTCTCTACATCACACCACTATAAGTTTCAATCAAAGACTCTGCTTAGTTTCACTTTCCGGCTGCAAAAGCTTGCTCTGCAAAAGCATGCAGTTCCCTGTCAGTGCTTTTTGGCACAGACTGTACTCAGAGTTAGGCCTCTCTTATATTAAAACAATATAATCAGCAAATACGCATTCGGATTATATATTCAAACCCCAACAGAACTCTCACCTTCAGATGCTGCAGTTTCCCGGGCAGAGAAGAGTGGAGACCAACATGCTGAAAGAGGGAAGGCTTGTACCTCTGCTTGAGTAGTGCCTTCTGCTCTGTGCAGTGTTTCTATATACAATATGAGAACATGTGAGTTTGAAACGCACTGTAAAAGCTGCTCTTTACAACAACAACAACAAAAAACAAGCAATAGGAAAAAAATGTACTGTTCAATGCTTTCTCAGTACTGGAAATACCATGCTTTGTATAGACAAGAGGTGTCATCTACATAGAGTGTGTAGAGTCTGAGTCCCAGATCTATTTAACCACAGATTTATTTAGAGATTTATGCTCCATTTTAACAAAAATCCTCAACAACAACGTGTTTTTTCTTATTTGTAGGGCTGTAACAAACAGCAAAGTGTGTAAAAAAAAATAATGAAGTGGTCTGACTCTTTCCCAAAACACAAATGAATCTATACTTTGCATTTCTTGACTCTTGATATAACTGACTTACATCATCTTTCTCGGGGTTGCAAACCTTCACCCACAGAATGTGATCCAGCAGCCAGTCAATAGGTTTGTCTCTGTGAAACATGAGGAAGAACTCGGCGATCATTGGGAGGTCCCGGGTGCGAAACAACTTGCCTGGAGAATCACACATACACACAAATGCATTCGTGTAATATTACCTAAAAAAATCCACACACACACACACAAAAATTACTTCAGTATTTTACACAAAAGCACACCTATAAATCCAAGCTGGGAGAACTCAAGGTAGAGCCATGGCTTTGAAGCTTCGTTTGTGGCGTAGGCCTTCATCTCGTCATAGTAGCCCGACTTAGCAACAACATCATCCTCTAACTGGAAATCAACAGACAACAAATAATAATTTGCTCCTTTATCCTTTTTCTTAGTTATCCTAAACGTAACAGGACTCTGTGCTGCACTTAGGCATTCGACCACACATTTTAGATCTGCTTAGCTTGTTAAAAACAGACGTGTCAGGAAGTAGACACTATTTATAAAAAGTTTAAACATAAGCACAGCTACAGCCCAATCAGACCACTCCTGGTGAAAAGGAGAAAGAGTTTACAACAGGCTATCATTTCAGACTTTTGTATTTCACATTTCTGTGATGTCATCTTTGGGTCTTCTGTAAGCATTTATAGTCTGAGCTCATCTGCAGTGCCCCTACCCAGACAAGCAATGTGAAAGCGAAAGATATATAAGGAAGAATTATAACATACAAAGCTACTCTGGCTGATATCACAAACAAATAAATGGTGCTAAAAATAACTTTCCTGAAACATGATATGCAAAACACAATAGAAATAAGGTGTTTAATAAATAATAACTAAAGTCTGACCCTAACCTGAACATAAAACGTTCCTTTGTCTTGAGCGTAGAGCATGAGGAAGCTGAAGTCCAGATTCTGTTTTGTTCGCCATCTAAAATCAAACAAGAAGCACAAATATAACCCGAGCAGAAATTCACTCACCTTTTTGGTTTTGGTACTCACTGTGTGTTTATACACCACTCTGCATTCAATAAATAACAGTTTATTGTTTAACACACCAAACACATTATAAGTCTCCTACTCTTCATCATTTATTTATTAGGTTATGTAGTGTATATGTTGGTTTTGTGTCCTCTATGCCACTGCAGCAGCACCTACTCTATTTTCTGCACTATAAGGCGCTCTTAAAAATCCTTTAATATTCTCCAAAATCAACAGTGCGCCCTATAATCTGATGCGTCTTATGTATGAATTCTGGTTGTGCTTACTGACCTTGAACCGATTTTATGTGGTACATGGTGCTCAAAAATCTGTCAAAAAATGTTTTAGTACGACTTTGGTTGCTACGAAGCCGCACAACTTGATGGATTGTTGGAGCATTACGGCTACCATAGGCAGGAGCCTCGCGCAGTAATCTGGGTCCTAAACTCCGTCATCCTCAGGTCCCAAAGTCAAACAAACACTGCAGCATCACTGAGAGTTAAAAACTGTCTAAATTCTTTCATCTTTAATAAAATGATCAGCGTTCCTGCTTTACCAGGTGTAACAATTAAGTTTAACATCCAGGCATCCATGAACACAGAATGTATTAAATTTAACGGAGTTAGAAGTTAGCAGGAAGTTAGCTCGCTAGCTTCCACCTAAACATGATATAGCATGTTCTGACTGACAGATTTGTGAGAAAATTCAAACGTACAGCTCTGCTATCACTTCCAACATAAATGAAACTAAACAGCAGTGACGTTTGTAGCATTACTAAAGTTCGGCTACCTGGTATATAATGTTGTGCTACGTGATCGCTGGCGACACAGCTATGCTAGCATAACATAAACACAGTGAAGCTGGAGGATGAACGCTAACTTTTTTTCCCCACTCGACAAAAATGTTAATGCGAAGGTTCCCGATGGTTATGGACAAATGCAATTGCATGGCAGGATTCTGTAATGTATAATCTGGTGCGCCTTATGGTCCGAAAAATACGGTAAAAAACACTTCAGAATTACCATCACTGACAAAACATTTGTAGCATTTCGAGACTGCATCATGTGATTTTGTATATGCACCGTACTTGACTCTTTCTTTGGAGTCTCCAAAAGTCTCCTTAAGGCTGGCGAAGTCAGGGTAGTAATACTGTGAAGGAGAGATGACCTCCAGCAATCCAGACTGCACCTCCTTGGGAAAACTGCAAAGAATGAGCTAGTTAACTGCAGAGATCAACATCAAGATACAAAGGAAATAATAGACATTCTTTGTTAGTATTTAGAGGTTAATCAAACAGTTATGTGTATGCTAACAAAATATGTAATAACAAGTCTTATGAACTGTAGGGCGTTTCATTCTCACACTTTACCTAGCTGTCCTGAAAAGTTCTTCCTAAATCACAGATCAAACATTGTATTTGACCAACAGGCGTTTAGGTTAATCAGAGAACAAATTCCTGAAAACATATGCTGGGAACCAACTTTCACACTTTCCCGTTGCCGGGAGGAAGAGCAGCAACAACATTAAAAACCTGTTTTGTGACAGCTTTTGTTAGCATGTAGTAGAGGCTAATGTAAAGCATCAGTGCACATAGACTACACTGAAGCATTTGCGTAAACAGAAATGTAATCAGGCGTTTCCAGTTCCATTTTACCAGAACATCTAATTGAGTTCAAAAAAATGAATGAATGTATGAAGATAAGTTTTATACACTCCAGTGATACAGTCATTTAAGATTTGGACATTTCTTGTGTTCTCTTTGCATAAAATTACATGCCAATGTGTAGTTTTATGCTTACAGATTACCCCTGTTATCTCAGGTTTATTTCTTTTAATCTGTGGTTGAATCTCAAAGAAGAGAAATGGAAATGTAGCTGCCTAACTTTTCCTTTATTTGTAAAGCGATACATAAAACAGACCATTTCCATGTTGAAGTTGCACATAAAGAGAAATACTTCCCCAGTAGACAAATCTCACACATATGACCATCAGCCATAGTTAGTCCATGGCTGACTAAAGAAAAATAGATTGGTGAATGCCCACATGCAATACAATCCTACTGTAATAATAAACATCTTATTTTTATACACTTACAGACAGAAACAGCAGTCTGCTGCTGGTGCTGCAAGCAATAAAGAGCATGAAACTTAAGTCTAACGTGAACACTGATACAACAGAGAAACTGCCCCATGGGAGGCAATCTAGCTCACTTACTTCTTCATGATGGTCTCTGCTACACTGTTCACATAGTCTAAGTTTGTCTGAAAGACAGAGAGAGAGACAGGACTGGGTCAGTAATGGGGAGGGGGGGCATATTTGACTGAATTAATATAAAACTTGAGCTCCTCGAGGCTTTTGCAACAATGAATACACGCTGGTGCTCTTACAGACTGAGACTGTAACTGTGTAAGTCCTTTGAAGGCCAGACATATTATCAGTTTCAGTTTGGGGGTTGATAAAGACTCGTTGTGTTCCTGTTTATAGTTTTTGTTACTCACAAAAAAAAAAAAACAATAAAAGAAAACCCCAAAGATGAGCAGGTATGAAAATCGTTAGGTGTTCATGTGTCCTTTCTCTCAGATGTCTAGCAAACAGCACATTATAGTCCATATGCAAGAGCACTCTCAGTGAGTCAGACTGACATCAGAAAAAAGTTCTTTAGTGGCACTGTATAACAGCTGTGTGTCACATCTCACCCAATATGTAAATCAGCATGTGGGAGCAAAGAAGGAAGCAAAGGTCATTCTGGTCCTGAATACTTATTTATGGTATTTATTTATGATTTATTATAATTTATGACATGCAATTGAAATTAATGGTTTGCAGTAGGGAACAATTTACCTTGTTCACCACTAAATTATGGTGTTTGAGTTCAGGAGTGTTATGAGGTCAGGTGCATTAGGATAGGCTAACAAACACTGATGTGCCTTAGGTAAGCCAAGCCAGCTGCTACACTGCATATCAAGGAATTTATTATAGGCAAGCTAAAATTAGCTAGCATAAACTGGAAAGGAAAAAAAACAACTTTAATCCAATGAAGCCCATCTGAGTGAGAGGGGAAAACCACATCCCCACAATGTGAAACTTTTACCACTGTGCTTGAGATTTGGTGGTTGTTTTTTAAAGTTATCAGCTAACTTTATAAATTAACCACCACCACATGAATGCACCGTAGCTAAGTTACATGTAGCTGGCTAACTATACCTTAGCATAATTGCATCGCAGCAGAAATTAAAGTTATATAGCAGGCCAAATTACTTCACTGGCTAACATAACTCTTCTTAGTAACTTGTGTTTAATATGAAACTACACTGTGTCTAGCAGGAAATGATCCAATGATTCAAAGCAAAGATATAAATAACTTACATTTGTTTTGTAAAGTAACAGCAAACTTACGGACAGTTAGCCAGCTAGAGTGTGTGTGTGTGTGTGTGTGTGTGTGTGTGTGTGTGTGTGTGTGTGTGTGTGTGTGTAACCTCAGCAACAAAGACGATGATGAGGAGATCCTGGCACTGTGATGAAGTCAGGCTAAATAGCAGAGAGCTAAGCGTGTTGACCAGGTAACTTTGCTTGTCACGCTTCACAGTGGGAATGCCAAGCACCACGGACACTGAGAGATGACAGGATAGAGAACCAGAGAAAAACTATAGTCACTGTCTGCTTCCATTAGCACAGCAGATGTAAAACTGACTATCCCTTATTTGACTCTTGCATTCACTTTATTTATTTATTTATATACACATATACATATATATATATACAGTCAGTGCGCCCCAGGGTGGCTGTGGCTACAATGTAGCTGCCACCACCAGTGTGTGAATGTGTGTGTGAATGGGTGGATGACTGGATATGTAAAGCACTTTGGGGTCCTTAGGGACTAGTAAAGCGCTATACAAATACAGGCCATTTGCCATTAGGGTTGCCAACCGTCCCTTAAAATACGGAATCGTCCCGTATTTAGAAACAAAAGTACACGTCCCGTATTGAGCTAATAAGGGACGCACTTTGTCCCGTAATACAGTGAGAATCAAAAGTAGTCTATAAATGTTAATGGAATTAACACTTTGTTTGAAAACATAATTCCCAGCCCCTCTCCTGCTTTGTGACCAATGAGCTGACAGCACACTTATGACAATTCGAGTATGACAATTCAGATTACCGCTCATCTCATTGGTCGAGGAAAGGTCGCTTGCGGAGAAAATACCGGAAGACAACAGATGACCACAACAAGAAGCATGGCCAACAGGGAAACAAACCCGACACTGCGGTGCAAGTCTCGGACGACAGTACACCTAAAGCTGAGCAGACACTGTGCGATTTTTTCAGTCGCGTTATTCAGCTCCTGCTCAAACTGCAGGATTGACTCGCAGGGGTTAGAAGTTGGTAGGTCACGATGCAGGTCTCACACTATACCGCCCGATGCTCTGATGCGACCTGAGTGCTCACACTGTGCCTCCATAACATGAAGGTTATAACAGAAAATCTGTCGCTCTCTGTCTCTGTCTTTCACTCACACAGACACACCACCACCATCAACTTTGCTAAATTGCTAATGAAAAACATGATCAGGCAGCTGTGATTAAGCAGCATGTAAATCCAACTATTGTCACGGTTGTTGTGGTCGTGATAATTTTGTGAGGCCACATGGAAAAGGCTCGGATGAGCTTTCCAAAGTTCTACAAGTTGTGCCTCCATCGCTTGTGTCCAGATCACACGCTGCACAGCCGTGCTGCTCCATCTTTTCACCAACGTTTACGTTTGCGCGGAGCAGTGTGAGCGGCTGGACCTCACGAGCGATTGATGATCGGGAGCTGGTCGTGAGGTGTTAATCACTTCTCGTTACCCCACGTATACTACACGACGCACGATGAAGGCCAAAATCGGTCCGATCACTCAAAAATCGTCTCAAAATGGGCCTAAAACCGCACAGTGTGAGCCCAGCATTAGAGCAGCAATGTTTGTTCCCCTCAGAGAAAGGGAAGAATGGGAAAAGGAAAACACCTGGCTGGAAAAACGTTAATATGGGCATGTGCAGTGAATATCAGCGCTATGTGGCCAGAAGTGTGATAATATAATTTATTTTGTGTAAGAAACAACTGCAAGGATAGATGATTACAACAAATAGATGACTAATACATAAAAGTAATACATAGATGAATAATGATGATGAGTTATGATGCGTAATCATGGGAACAAGTGGGTTTACAAACAGGAGCAGCTGATTAGCTTTAGAAAAGCTGAAATAATACCTCAACTGAAGCCAATTGTACTAAATGCACTAAATGTGCACTGTTACAAGAATATTTTTCTTTCTATTGTTTTCTATTATTTTAAGTTAAGCAGGACAGAGTTCTTTTAAAGAAAGATTTACTTATATTCTCAAAAGTTAAGCATGACAGGCTTCTGTTTAAGAAAGAGACCTGTTTTACTGTGTTAATGTTGTCATTTTGAGCTAAAAATAAATGGCTAAATGATCATTTGTTTCACATGTGTTCATATCACAAAGAATAGAAGATAATGACATCTACTTAAATCAACTTCAAGTCAAATGGTTAAAAAAATAATTTCACACACAAAAAAAGAGCTAGAAAATTCACCACACTGGGAAGGGTGAAGACAACTGGGTCGCCCGGCCCTGGCCACGAGGTGTCCCTTATTTATTTTTCAGGGAGTTGGCAACCCTATTTGCCATACACACACACACACACACACACACACACACACACACACACACACACACACACACACACACACACACACACACACACACTCCTACCAAGATTCATTGAATAGTAGGGCTGTGCATTTTTATTAAATGTGAGGGCTTCATACCTCCACGACGTCCCTGTCCCAGCACTACATTAGGTACAAGGCTGCCCGGATGGAGTCTGAGGTGGGGCATGAAAATGTAAATATTGGGCTGAATGAATGTTTGCAAGCCTGTAGGTTGCTTTTCTGTTTCTGTAAACACAAAGAAAAAGGGATAGAGGCATGTGGTGTTATAGTTAGCACAGTTAGCACACAACATGCTAATAGGCCAGGTAAAAATATATGATTAACTTTCATATGTATTTTGTTTCCTATACATACAGGAAACTAAATAAATAGGAATTATGGCAGACAGACAAAATTTGAGACCTGTGCTCCTGTGTCAACCATCAACTGCAACTTCTGTAGATAAACTGCCCGTGGTACATTACACAGAGAGAAACCTGGGTGATCTCCTTATGTTTTACAAGTCAAATGACTTAGGTCCACATTTCTTTTGATTGTGTGGAAATGCTTAAACAAAGTACAGTTTCAGCTAGAGGTCTCTGTTGTGACTTTTTTTTTTTCTTCATTAAGCCAAAAAACACCAATTTAATTAACCAGATTCAGAGAAATCCTAGAAATACTGTGTATTCACCATTGCATGAACACTGACATTTTAACCCTGGAGAAACCATGGGGTCAAATTTGACCCCATGGTTTCCTAGTAAACCAATGGGGTCAGAGCCGACCCCATTGGTTCTCCAGGGTTAAGAAACATTTACAAAGTTTTAATAGGGTTGAGGTCAGGGCTGTGGCAAGGCCATTCTGAAAGAATAATGTTAGCCTGCTTCCATTCTAAAAGCAGCTTTGCTGTGTGTTTGTCCTGTTTGAACATTTAATTGTGTCCAAGTTTCAATCAACTAGCTCTTCATCTGATGTTACGTTAAAGAATTTAGAGCTAGTCCTCCTTCATTGTTCCGTCCACTTTGTGCAATGTTCCACTACCACTGGTGTCAAAAAACCCCCAGAGCATGGAACCGTCACCACCATGCTTCACATTTGGCTTTACTGTTTAGGTTTGAAAGCCTCACCTTTACTCCTCCAAACATACCTTTGTCATTACAGCCAGATAGCGCAAGCTGCAAATTCCAGTCAAGCTCGAAGGGATCAGTTTTAGAGCAGAGGCCTTTTTTCTTGGCACGCCCTCCGTCCACAGCAATATAAAACTAACTTCAGTTCGGCAGGCTTGAGCCTCGTTGGCCTTTGAGTTGTTCTGAACCAATTTCCTCTCATCTGAGAGTGACACTTTGGGTCTTCTTCCAACTGAATAATCTGTACCAACTTACAGTTGTTTGAATTCATGACCTTGGAACCTCCAGTTGCTTAAAAAATGTCTCCAACAGATCTTCCAAACTACAATTTTTCCCCTTAGATCTTCGCTGAGTTACTTGGCCTATTATTCAGTCCAATAAATGCCATCAAACAGTGCAGTCGAACGAACTGCCAGTTTGAGTCAATCGTGATCACTAATAAGAAATGAACAGGCCTTGGCAAGTTCAAAGATGCTGTAGAACTTTAGCACCACGATTGTCTTTTTTATTGTTTTTTATCATTCTTATTACAAAGTTAAGAAATCTGTGTTTAAAGTTGAGTCCAGTGTTGCCTTACACATAAAAGAATGATTCCCAGTGAGTGGAGAATAGCATTGGTCAGTACATGCTATCCAGCATGGACTGTGTTCAGTGTTTTCAGCTTTAGGTCTGTTGATGCTGTGTACTGTATCCATGTAGTTATCTTTTTTGTTTCTAATATCTTGCTCTTATGACGCATTTCCAAAGACATTTGCCTTTATTCAAAGTCATAAAAACAAATAGTGCTGGGTTCTCTGCTACCCACCTTTAAAGCCTGTCCTGTTGTGGACAGAGTAAAGATAGGTGTCGTTGCCAGTTTTGGAAAGGTTCCTTAGCTGTTCCAGGATGCTGCTGAGATCCTGACTGACCTGCCCCCCCAGCTCCTCGGCCACCAGCAGACGCTTGTACAGGATCTGCAGGTCAGGCATCACTGTTGAACCTGGATGCATACAGCAAAGTTTAAAGAGTTAAGACACACTAGTTGTCAGCAAACTGACTGCTTATCGGCTTAATTTCTAACTTAAAGTCACATCATTCCATAATAACCGCCCACCTTAAGCAGATATGTCCCTTCAGATGGTGGAAAGCCTAACTTGAGTCAACTTTCCTTATTTTATCTGAATGACCACAGAAAACAAATAAATATGCAAATCTTCAAAGAAGTTGGAATCAGTAAGCTTTTGTCATCTTTGCTTGGGAGCTGGCATTTCAGCATCTCCCCATATTTTTGTTTTCACAATGACATTCATGTTTCTAACAGACGCTTCTCTCTCTGTTTATACACCAGGCAGCTCTATTTATAGTGCAGACACGTCTGCAGCACTTGAAGAGATTCTTGTTTTCAATCACTCCAATCTCTTTGTTCAACTGCTTTCAACTCTCCGACATCAACGTTCACTCACGGAACATTTTCATGTAATCAGTTCACACTTTGTGCTTTTATCTGCCACTTTTATAAATGACAGTTGATTACTTTTGAAAGGACATGTTACACGTTCAACAATCAATTTTTTTTATATGCATGAATGACTGAGTTTTCCTAAGCTGTAGAGGCTCTTAGGGTCACATTAGTATTAGGGATGGGTACTGGGTTCTGACATAAATGGTAGTAACCAGACCGAAAAGCAGCGCACATTTCGGCAGAGATGGGCGGTAATGCGTTACTTGTAACGACGTAATGGGAACCTCACAGAGAAACTCGCGGATTCTTCAACTGACCGCGGCACACCTGCACCAGGGTAAACCTCCGCCTACCGCACTCCTGCTTTACAGGTGAAAATAGAGCAACAGGACCGCTGAGTCTTTGACTTTATTTATTTTCTGCTGTGTTTTACTTGCATCTATTTGAAAGACTGAGTGTAAACACAAAAAATATTTTATTTTATGTGCTGGAATGTGCAGAAAATAGTTTAAATGTTAAACTAATTTCTTCAGTCAGAGAATGTTGCATATAATTAAATTTTTGCTTGATGCATGAAGTTAAAAGATTAAAACTAATAAAACAAGTTTTAAAAAGAGACTTTTCCATTTCATTACATTTTGTATGATGGATTATGCAGAAAAAGTAGAATTGGGCTGAAAGATCTATCACTTTATCACCTCTTCAGGTTGTAAATCGTGTTTTTAAAAAGTAACTAAGTAACTAAGTAATTAATTACTTTTGAAAATAAGTAATCAGTAAAGTAACGGGATTACTTTTTTGGGGAAGTAATCAGTAATTAGTTACTGATTACTTTTTTCAAGTAACTTGACCAACACTGCATTTCGGTGCTTAATTTTGGTGCTTTTTTTTCCTGAGCTGTGATACACTTTGGATTCTAGCCAATCATTTTACGTTTCCGAGGATAGTAGGAGGGCCCAGGTACGTACGTTCTTTTAGAGCCGAGCTACAGATTAAAAATGTCCAAGGCGAAGCGGTCCAAAGTCTGGCTGTACTTCACAGCAAAAGATGAAAACTCAGCAGCCTGCAACAAGTGTTTTAAGGTGATACTGTAATACTGTCAAAGGAGGTAACACCTCGAATCTGATGAAACATCAGCTTTTTTAAAGCTGAGAAATGCACCGTACCTACTGCGGGTGTGGTCCTTGTTATCGGAGTTAGCAACATCCCCCAAAAACCCGAAGAGGAGAGTCCTGGCCCCTAGCCCTGCCAGTGTAGCAGAAATGATGATGATGCAGCAGCAGCCGTTCTTCTCTGCGTGAGTAGCTTCATGTTCGTGTGTAATTTATGTTGAGTAGGCTAACCACGTTATTACATTAATGCATGTACGGTGAACTATAGCTGCAGAAAAGGCTAACATTGTTATCTTTTTACAAAAAAACAGCTAAACATGAGAGGTTTTTGGACAAAGTTTGTGTTCTCCATTCTTTAAGCACCAGCACCGTTTCAAAAGTACCGGTGTGGCACCGGTATCGGATAAAACCTAAACGATACCCATCCCTTTTTTTTGTAGCGTGTAGCGTGCCCACCCCCAAGGTCCTATATGTATGTGTTATGAGAGTGTGAATAATGTGAATATCTAAGTTGTGGAATACAATTGAGGGTGGGTGAGGAGGAGTCTCATATAAGACTTTGTTTAGGCATTGTTGTAATGCAGGCTTGTAGGAACAAAGCACATCAGGTGCTCAAATTGATTAGAAGAGCACTCTGTATGTGCCTTTCCATTTAGCTTTTCTACAGCTAGCCGTATAGGTCCGCTTTTCTGTGGGCGGGTTTTGTCAACACAATACCTTCACAACAATGTAAAATGCAGCTACCCAACTTCACAGGTGTGGCTCTGGCATTAAGATGAAAGCTCTGGTATGAGAGCTCACCAGTATTGCAGCAGACTTAATGGTGTCAAGTCAACTTTATTTGTCAATTCTGCCACATGTGCAGGACATACACAGAATAGAAATTGCGTTACTCTCAAACCCTAGTGATTAGAAAAATGCAAATAAAATAATTAAAAAGTAAAAATTTAAATAAATACAATACAATTTTACGTATAACAAAAAAAAAAGCTATGCAATATACAATGTACAATATTCAAGTAAGAAGGCATAGTGGTGCAAAATAGGCAAATAGTGCAAATGGGGATTTAGTAGTGTACGGTAAGAGATAGTGTAACAACAAAGTCTTATGAGGTCCAATGCTTAAGCAGTCCAATGCTCCACAAAGTGACTGGAGCAGGCCAGTGAGTGCGTCAGAGAGTGAGTGTGTGTGTGTGTGTGACAGAGTTCAGTGAGACCGTGGTGGAGAAGAGGGGAGAGGGGGGCAGAATCGGGAGGGAGTTTAGCTTCCTGACAGCCTGATGGATGAAGCTGTCCTTCAGCCTGCTGGTCCTGGCCTGGAGACTCCGCAGTCTCCTCCCCGACGGCAGCAGCTTGAAGAAGCTTTGCATTGGGTGCGTGGGATCAGCCGCTATGCAAAGGGCTTTTTTAGTGAGACGGGTGCTGTAAATGTCCTGGAGGGAGGGGAGAGAGACACCAATGATCCTCTCTGCAGCTCTCACTATGCGTTGGAGGGTTCTATGGCAGGACGCATTGCAGGCTCCAAACCACACAGTGATGCAGCTCGACAGGATGCTCTCGATGGTGCCTCTGTAGAAAGTGTACATGATGGGGGCTGGAGCTCCTGCTCTTCTTAGTTTGCGGAGAAAGAAGAGACGCTGCTGTGATTTCTTGGCCAGTGCTGTGGTGTTGTACGTCCAGGAGAGATCCTCTGTGATGTGCACACCCAAGAACTTGGTGCTGCTCACTCTCTCCACAGACGCTCCGTCAATGGTCAGAGGAGCATGTTGGGTGTGCATTCTCCTGAAGTCCACAACAATCTCCTTCGTCTTCTCCACATTCAGAGAGAGATTGTTGTCAACGCACCACGTGGCCAGGCGTCTCACCTCACTTCTGTAGTCGGTCTCATCCCTGTTGCTAATGAGACCCACCACCGTTGTGTCGTCCGCAAACTTGATGAAGAGGTTGGAGCTGTGTGATGGAGTGCAGTCATGGGTCAGCAGAGTGAAGAGGAGGGGGCTCAGCACACATCCCTGCGGGGCCCCCGTGTTTAAAATGATGGTGCTGGATGTATTACTGCCGACCCGTACTGCTTGAGGTCTTCCGGTGAGGAAATCCAACAGCCAGTTGCACAGTGAGGTGTTGAGCCCCAGCTGGACCAGTTTTTGAATGAGCTGTTGGGGGATTATAGTGTTGAATGCTGAACTGAAGTCTATGAACAGCATTCGAACATATGAATCTTTTTTGTCCAGGTGTGTGAGTGCTGAGTGGAGTGCAGTGGAGATGGCATCATCGGTTGAGCGATTGGGCCGATACGCAAACTGGAAGGGATCCAGGGAGGGGGGCAGGACAGTCTTGATGTGCTGCATGACTAGTCGTTCGAAGCACTTCATCAGGATGGGAGTAAGTGCAACAGGACGGTAGTCATTAAAGCAGGAGGGAGATGACTTTTTTGGAACCGGAATGATTGTGGTGGCTTTAAAACATGTGGGGACGACAGCCTGGATGAGTGATATGTTGAAGATGTCTGTGAAGACATCAGTGAGTTCCACTGCACAGTTTCTCAGTGCACGACCAGGAATGTTGTCAGGACCCGGAGCTTTACGTGCATTGATCCTGCTGAGGGATCTCCTCACGCTGTCCGGGGACAGAGTCATCACCTGGTCACCAGGAGGGGGTGGGGTCTTCTGTGCAGTGGTGCTGTTTCGGACTTCAAAGCGAGCAAAGAAAGTGTTCAGCTCGTTCAGCAGGGGATAGTGCTATCACAGGTCTGTGGTGGGGGCTTGTAATCTGTGATGGTCTGAATGCCCCGCCACAGGCTCCGTGAGTCTCTGCTGTCTTTGAAGTGATGGGATATTTTCCTGGAGTACTGTCTCTTAGCCTCTCTGATGCCACGGGAAAGGTTGGCCCTAGCTGTCCTCAGGCTTGCCTCGTCTCCATCTCTGAAGTCTACAGTTATTGGAGTATTTATGATAGAACATTTACCTGCACAGCTTGAATATGTCAAAAAAAAAAATCCTCAAATAACTCAAAATATACCAAATAAAGTTCTAGTATTAACTTCCGGTTTTAAACTACTATCCCACTATTAATAAAACTTTGTCAAGGTAAGGAGGAAAAAGGACAAGCCTAATGACAATGGCTCATTTCCATCAAGCGTCCCAATAAGCCACGACAGCAGCTGAGAGGAGCCCAGCTGTGAAGATACCTGTGCTTTCGCTGTTATGTTAAGATGTCTGTTGTCTGAGCTGCAGTGCCTTATTAATCATGCAAATATTATATGTTCAATAAAACTTTTGGTTTCATTAAAACTGTGTTTCAGCTTGCTAGGCCTTTACTCCCTTCTTTAAGTTGCTTGAAGACGTTTCACCTCTCATCCGAGAAGCTTCTTCAGTTCTAAGGTCAAATGGTGGAGAGTCCCAGATATAAACCTAGTGGGAGTGACCCCCCACTGATGATCCTCTAATCGCCTGAGCCAAGGTGTGAAACTGGGTGTGGGTCCCAATCAACCAGAGTTTCGGGTGTGTTCATTGTGAAACCTGGCCCCACCTTATCATGTGAATTCCTGAGGTCAGATGGCCCAGGATGTGAGCAGGCGTTAAGGCGTCTGGGAAGGGATCTCAAAACTGGATTATAGATGGCAGAGAGTTGGTGTCGTAAACCCCGCCTCTGTTCAAAGATGGTCGCTCACAGTGGACTTAGATGCTTCTTTCTACAAGAAGACAGCTCCTTGGAGGACAGGACCAACTTCACACCCGATCAGATTTGCACACTGTTAGACCTCTGCCTCACCACTACATATTTCAAGTACAACGAAGGCTTTTACAGACAAAAACATGGCTGTGCCATGGGCTCCCCCGTATCACCTATTGTAGCCAACCTTTACATGGAGGAAGTGGCTACATAGGGGATGACAATGTTGTTGCGTCTGTCCTTCTTATCCTCCCTCGCTGGTGTCTGGTCTTCTTTTCTGTGCCTCTTTGCTGACTTTAAGAACGCCCATTTAGGATAGCCGCATGTTTTGAGTGCTTCCTTTACATGTGTGTGTTCCTTCTTTTTCCCTTCAGGCTTAGAGGGAACATGTTCTGCCCGGTGGTGTAGGGTCTTAATTACTCCAAGTTTGTGTTCCAGAGGGTGATGGGAGTCAAAGAGGAGGTACTGGTCCGTGTGTGTGGGCTTCCGGTAAATTTCGATGTTGAGGTTGCCGTTCTCTTCAATGTGCACGGCGCAGTCCAGAAAAGGCAAACAGTTGTCCTTTGTGTCTTCCCTGGTGAACTTGATGTTTTTATCCACAGCGTTAATGTGCGCAGTGAAGGATTCCACTTCTTGTGTCTTGATTTTGACCCAGGTGTTGTCCACATATCTGTACCAGTGGCTGGGTACTCTTCCTTTGAAAGAGACAAGAGCCTTCCTTTCCACTTCCTCCATGTAAAGGTTGGCTACAATAGGTGATACGGGGGAGCCCATGGCACAGCCATGTTTTTGTCTGTAAAAGCCTTCGTTGTACTTGAAATATGTAGTGGTGAGGCAGAGGTCTAACAGGGTGCAAATCTGATCGGGTGTGAAGTTGGTCCTGTCCTCCAAGGAGCTGTCTTCTTGTAGAAAGAAGCCATCTAAGTCCACTGTGAGCGACCATCTTTGAACAGAGGCGGGGGTTTACGACACCAACTCTCTGCCATCTATAATCCAGTTTTGAGATCCCTTCCCAGACGCCTTAACGCCCACTCACATCCTGGGCCTTCTGACCTCAGGAATTTCCATGATAAGGTGGGGCCAGGTTTCACAATGAACACACCCGAAACTCTGGTTGATTGGGACCCACACCCAGTTTCACACCTTGGCTCAGGTGATTAGAGGATCATCAGGGGGTCCTTTTGTCCCTCTGTGGGGGGAAACTCCCACTAGGTTAACTGAACAAACACACACATCCACACATGTGCAATAACACTAAGTGCAATAATCTTTTCTGGCATCGTATTTTTACTCAGTTGTATATAGCATTCGTATTCTATTTTTATCTTATTGTATATTTTTATTCTATTTTATTCTACTGTATATAGTATTTTATTCTATTCTGTACAGCTGTGTACTGTATTTATTCTTATTGTATTCTAATTTTTGCGTCATAACTTTTGCACTGTCCACTTCCTGCTGTGACAAAACAAATTTCCCACGTGTGGGACTAATAAAGGTTATCTTATCTTATCTTTATATCTGGGACTCTCCACCATTTGACCTTAGAACTTGAAGAAGCTTCTCGGATGAGAGGTGAAACGTCTTCAAGCAACTTAAAGAAGTCCAGACGCTTTTCTTTGCAAGCTCCTTTGACTACGATGACCTGGATGACTGAGAACCTTCACAGACATTTTACTCCCTTCTGTTTACCAGTAAAATAAGTATTTGTACCTAAAAGGGAAAGACTTTATAACCGGTATAACTTTCATTTTTTTTCTTAGGAAACAACATTTCCCACAGCCTCTTCAATAAGACGTTTGTACTCCATGTGAAACAGAGTGTTGTATACAGAGAGACCGTCGCCCGACGATCGAGAAGGTTATGCTAATAATTTGTAAAAATAAATAAATAATTTAAAAACATAAAAATGTAAAAGTTGCTCATGCTACGCTGTGACGCGAACTTTAACCCTGCGGTATTTTCTGTTTCCATGAGAATAAACAGCAGATGAGTATAAAGTTTCCGTTTGAGTCAGCATGTGAAAAGTAAAAGATAAGATAAGATAAGATAAGATAGAACTTTATTAATCCCTCGGGTGGGTTCCTCTGGGAAATTCGACTTCCAAAAAGCACAGCAACGACCGAAGTTACAGTTACATACAGTTAAAAGCAGGTACACTCACCTTCATCACTGGGAATCGATTTAATCCAAGTAACCGACACAAAACACCCGAACGCCAAGAGACATGCTAACTTATAGGGGTAAAACCTCATCTCATTCCTCACTCACAGTCCCACCGTCTTTGTGTGCCTACTTGCCGCCGATGGGACAACAGGTGGATGTGAGCGGACCAGGTAAATGCAGGTAAGTTAGAAGAAACGCTTAGTGTCTGGTCACAACTGTGATTCTAGCCTACGTCAAAGCCAAGCATCTACGCGTGTCCGCTTTCATGCTTTTCCGCATGTTGAAAACGTTGTTACACGGTCGCATGATGACAGTTCCTGACAAAACGCTGTGAAATTCTCCGAGAGCACAATCTGACGTGTTGTAGGCACGCACGGCCAACAGCGACACCTGTTGGCCGTGTCATGGCGTTCACAGCCTCGGGCGAACCGGTCTATGACAGGAACCCACAGAACAATAAAATAAATAGTAGCAATCGAAAGTCTTACTATCTCTTTATGTAATATTTCAGGTTTAGCATGAGAAATAAACCTTAGCCCAAGTTTTAGTAGGCAGCACATTTTTAGTGTCACGTGTTTCGTAGTTCGCAGTATGGTTAAGGAAACGTGTGCTTCAAGGTAGCCTGTGTAAGTCCTTCTAAGTGACGGTACGGAATGTTGCCACTGACAATCTATGCTTACGTTGAGAGTATAATAGTACGAAACGTGCCATGTTTATATGGGCTACGGTGTGAGCCTCCGCTCGTGTGGGGATGTAGCTCAGTGGTAGAGCGCATGCTTTGCATGTATGAGGCCCCGGGTTCAATCCCCGGCATCTCCAACGTTTTGTTTTTTTTTTTTTTTTAATAAATTCATAAATTGACTGTTGGATTCTGTGTCCGAGTCAAATTTTCTCATTTTAAAAAAGTAGCAATTAGTAATATATATCTCGTTTCATGGTTAAGCTACTAGTTTGCCAAATGCACTAGTTACTCTGTGTTTGAAAGCACTGTTAGTATGATGTTCAAAACAAAAGCAGGAAGATCTCAAAGTAAAATTAAGTTAATTATTTATTTTAAAGTATATATTTTAATCGATGTCTGAGACAAAATACAAAGTGCAGGAAGTGACTGTTTCAGTTAGATGACATATCCCCGTTTCCCATATTTTAAAGACGATTTTAGGTTGTAAAGAACAATTATATTTTTGTCATTGTGTTCTGGCTGCTCAATCCAATTCCTTTGAGACTTCTTTCCTACCATCCATTTATTCTAAGTGGGGGGGATCACCGATTAACCAAACTCATGCATGTCTTTGGACTGCTGGAGGAAGACGGAGAGAATCCATGCACCACTCGGCACAGAGAGGGCATGGAGAATGGAGCAAAACCCAGAATCTTCTTGCTCTGAGTCAGCAGTATGGACAACCACACCACTGCCCACTTTACATATCATGAGATCCACCTGTGTAAGAAATTCAGAACCAAATGATTTGTCAGAAAAAGGTTCCCGTAGTTTTCATCACCATCATCACCTTTACTGGAACAGAGAGAACACTCAGGGCAACAGAAAATGCATCCGTAGCCAAATGCATTCAAAACTGGCAATACAGCATGTGCTATTGTACTATTCCAGCTGACAGCAGTGTCATTGTTGAACCAAGTAAGGATTTTATCCTGTTATGAATTTAAGAAAGATTTACATGAAATATCAAGTTAACTTTGTTGTGAGTTTCATAAAGTCTGATGATCTCAGTTCTGACATCTACATTAGTAATCACTCTTCACACTGCCTTCTTTGTGGTCATGACCTCTCCTCCACCCACAGCTCTGTTTGGGGTTTGCCATCATCAGATCACCAGGTCAGCTCCATCAGGACCAGGCTGGCCATTGTTAGCGCCATACAGTGCAGCCTGACCTCAGGCCAATGGCATATTCCATCATAAGGTAATCAGCTGCGGACACCCTGACTTCATGTCTGTTAAAATCATGGATACTGAAACAATATATTGTCTTTTAACAACTTGAGCTTCAAAATAACCACATGGCCTTCAGAACATCAGTCCCACTGCAACACAGATGTGCTCAGAGCGATCCCATGTGTGCAGCGCTTCAGAAAGGCTCATTCAGACAAGTTAACAGAGACACCATGCACACCAAAAAGGGCCATTTCTGTCACTACGGGTAAAAGCAAGATGAACCACACACAGCCCCATTCACATATTTACCAAGATCCCCCCACCCATCATCCATCACCCATTACCCCAGAGTGACCTTTGACACCTCCCAGCAGCTGCATTTATCGGGAAATAGGCTGTTGTCATGGTGACTGAGGAGCAGTTTTATTTTCATTTACCCCTTAAACAGTGAACAAAAACACACAAGGAATAAAAAGTTTAAAATCTGACTTTCTTTGTAAATTATCCACATGTTTATCCCTGTATGGAAATATATATGGTAATGTTTCTGACTGCAAAAGTGTTTTAAGCTGGAGTACCATATGCTGTAACTAACCAGGACTAGAACAGTTGTTGTACTGTAATCTTAGCTTTTTAGACGTGGATATCACAGACAGTTCACTCTCATATACTGTAGCAGCTAAAGGAGACCATATTTTACAAAATCAGCTTCATGATGTACTCAGTAACCCTTGAAACAAGCAACTGAAGCCATGAGCCCACCAGGAAAGTAACTGCGATCATAGAATAAAGGAGCTTAGCGTTGTTTTCCCCTGTAGGTCTATACAAGCAAAATTATTTTGGCTGCCACAGTAGCTAACCCCCTGCTGGTAATTAAAAAGAACGCAGGTTCAAGGCAACTTTTCAAAGCCAGAAGCTGTCCACAATTAAAAACAGAGACAGGATCCATTAGGAATGTGAGTTATTGTCCTCTCCTGACGGTGTTGACTTCAGTTTAAATATCTTCTTGTTCTGCTGTGTTACTATCCTATAAACAACTGCATTCCTCAGCATGTCTTACATGCATTTGCATGTAAGAAAAGCATGTCTTACATGCAACTGCATTCTTATTTGCAGTTTACACAAAATTTGCATCACACCAATCGTATCGTATTGCAATAAAAGAAGCAGCGAAGGACATTTTGTTCAACAAAGAAAGGGAAAAATTATTAGTAAAACATTTTACTATCTTTCTCATAATGAGAGGTAAAGGTCTTTGACAGAGGATTCACTGTTGGGGTGGAACGTTCAGTCACAAAACTGGTTGACTGGCCAGTGTTTGAACAGGAATACTGTCTGAGTTGAGATTGCTCAATGTGCTCATTGATGGCTGCGATCCTTGAGCATTAGTGAGGTGTGTGAGGATGCGAGCAGAAGTTGAACCCATGGAAGTGCAGAAGAGTGATGAGTTAGATGAGGGAGTGACTTGGTTCTCTTGGTTCATGAGTCATGTTCTACTTGTACACCAGGAGGACGATTCACTCAGTCTTTGCTGTAATTTTTATAATTAAATACCCAGAAAAATGACACACACACACAAACACACACATATAACCCAGGACCCATGAAGACCAACAGGTTCTGGTGAAGACAGAGATGGAAATTGTTGTTAAGTTGTTACAGTAATTCATCAGCAGCTGTCTTTTTAAATTACTTAATGTTTCCCACTGAAAACACTGCTTGACTTTGCTGTGACGTGAGCACAGAAAGCAACAGAAAGCATAAAGCAAGTATAACAGTTTACATGAGACGGTTCAAAAGGAGCCTGAAATGAGCATTTGACTAATGCTAGTTAGGCCTGAACATTTGGCCCCTACAGCGAGGGCATCTGTAGACTCGTTTAGTGGTTTTGACCAGGGATAGGCCACTAATGATGTTCATGAACATCATGAATGACATGCACCATCACTGCTGGCTATGCATCCTGTGTGTCAGCACACCCGTGACAAATGTACTTCAGTCTAAGAAATTGAAGTCAAAGAGCAGAGAACGGTCAGTCCTGAGCATCAGTCCGTCACTGGATCTGCCTGTTCTGCTACAGACACACATAACAGGAATCAGGTTTCCTGAAAACACACTGCATTCGTCCTACACGTGTTTCTAGTTGCAGCTTTTTTCTCTCAGCAGAGAAAGACCAGATTAGATTGAGCTTCATGATCCCAGCAGGATGGTGCAGGGTTCACATGAAGGGGACTCACCAATGGAAGAAATAACATTAGCATTGACAAGAATATGGAGAACATGGCTTAGTGCAGTTCATGCTTTTTTCATTGACATGAACAGTAGGATATCAGTTGCATTTAAAGAAAGAGGCCAACATGAGACCACCCCTCCCACCAGTTCAGTGGATTAAACACAAAGAAGAAACACAAGGAAAAAGCTGCAGCAGAACGAGAGGGAGCCACAAATCTGTCTTGGTTTTGTTTTAATCCTCATGTTAAGAGGATTGTGTGTAAAAATGTCATCATGAGAGAAGATACACATAAACATGCAGATGTTGCACACATGCAAAGGCACACACACGTGTCTAAACCCATCTTTACTGTGCATCACTAATCCTGCACGAGTCAAATGTTGCATTCTGCACTCACAGAGTATTGTGCCACAACTAATTGTTTTCAAATCAGATTTTCTTTGTTCATAAATTGTGTACTGAGGGCAAATAACTGACTGATAGGAGGAAAAACAAGTTGGGAAAAACCAAGGCACAATCTCGGGATAGAGGAAGGAAGATATTTCTGCAAAGATGAAACTCTTCATTTGTCATGCTGCTGTGGCAGTGGGTGGGGTAGGGGGTGGGGGTTAGGAGTCAGGCTTTGAGGAAACGAGCAGGAGAGTAGAAAGGACCCATCTGTTCCCATTGTGGCAAATGAAGAGAGAGCAGGGAGAAGCAGAAGGCAGAGCAGCAGGAAGGTAAGTGTTAAAAGCACTTTTCTCATCTTTAACTTGCTGTGATTCAGCTTTCAGACTAAATTTGGAGTTAGTGTAACTTAATGTAATGAATGAATGTGCCGTGGTCAGTGGTGTGAGATGTTAGGTTTCATTGTCAGATGGTGACAATATTACATGTGCAGGGACTAATACACAGCCTGAATTACTGTACAGCTGTGCCAATACCGCTGCTCGAATTCCTCCAAACTCTGCTTTTCATTTAAAGCCTGACTTAACTAGTCAAACGCTGTGAAATGCAAAAATAAGTCAGCTTTGGGGTTAAGACAAAAATGTATGCACTTACATTTTAGAGCATGAACTTTACCTGATCAGCTGCTTTGATGCAACGTGATTTGCCACCAAAGCAGTTCCTCTAATGTTCATTCCAGCTTGTTTAATTCAGAATGTTCTTTCTGACAGTCGGCTCCTTCGACCTTCGCCCTCTACTCTTGTGGCTGCTTTAATCTCATTACTTTAAAGCTGCCTTGTCCTCCATTCATCCTCCCTCCTCCTTCTCTGCCCAGTGCTCTAACTGAAATGGTACACCCTCTAACTTAATTAATGGAGGCATCTTCTGATTGACATGGGCACACACATATCTAGCAGTGTCCTATGGGGCAGGGCACAATGCCCTCCTCTCTGTATTTTATGGAAATTCTCGTCCATCTCGTGATTGAATCTGGTAGGTTTCTCCACCCTGTGGGAATATACAACGTTTCCCATCAGCTTCTTTGACTCACTGCTTTAACGCGTCCGTGCTATTGTGACATGGAGTGTCACAGTGTGCTTCCTGTTCTTTTGTGACAGTTTTTGCACTTTACTTTCTAGCAGTAGCAAAAGTAGCCACAGGACGTGCATCACCACACAGGGAAGGTTGGGAAGGGCCTGGTTGCATGAAGAGATTTGATTGGGTAATCTAGTGTCACCGATAAAAATGAATGGATGGGCTGCTGTCAGTGCTTGTAGGGCCAGTGCACAGCAGACCTTCAATCCAGTCTGTGGCCTGTGTAACTATATCGACCAAAAAATGATATTGACACATCAGCACACCGGGCATGCCAGATTACCAGTAACTCTTTAGTGGATCTGTTAGACTGGAGTGCAAATTGCACAGCATCCAGAGACGTGCCATGAATAACCTTCATGATGATTGAGCGCCATGGGCAGCAGTCATGCAGGCAGGTAGCAGCTGTCCTCTTTGGGACTATGATGATGGTGGTGGATGTGAAGCACACTGGGACAGGCATTATTCTCTTATATTTTATTACATTGCAGGTGCAAATGTAATGTACTCATCTTTGTATCCTTCTGAGACCCAGAAAAAGGTTTTAGTTGGTCTCATTAATGCAGCCTTGTTGCATCACCAGCCAGAGGACATTCTTTCTTTCTCACCCGAGACATAAAGATGACTCGTGACTTTGACTGACTGCCAGATGCTGAGTTATACACCGGGTCCTGGCTATAACTAGGACCCAAGATAATCCGAGTCATGTCACATATACAGATATGCTGAATGATGCTTTCAATTTTAAGAGACGAGCACCTCCCTCTGGTTTGTAGTTGATCTGTTTTCTCATTAAAAGTCTTTCTACCCAATTTCAAAAGAGTTGAACTCTAATGAAAAAACCTCCAAGGCCTAGCTTACACATTGCTTCTTATACATAATGGAAGATGAGTGCAGAACATACCAGTGTGTCCTCTGACCTTTCACCATCCCGGGACAGCTATTCGTCTGACTCCCTGCCTACAAACTGAGTGAAATCCTTTAAAATCTCATTCACAAATCAGAGTTAGTAATTCCTCTGTCCACTACAAAGGACACTGAATAAAAGTTCTCTTTCAAAAGTGTTAACATTACTGCACATTTCTGAAATTCTACTAAATTGAAGATAACAATCTAATATTTGTCATGAACCGAGGTTCCGCGCACAAGCTGGACCCAGAAGCAGAACCAAAAGGGTCGAGGCGGCGGGTGCTGATCGTGATCCAAATCTCAGACGGGCAGGCGGACAGGCAGGTGGCTCACAACACGCCGAGTTGTGATCTGAGTACACAGGGCAGAGTAGTGTTAGTTCAGACGGATAAGTTTTCATAAGGGCTTTCCCGCAGGTGTGCGTTACCGTTGAGCGACGGCTACGGACTGGCGTGGAGCAGCAGGTAGGGCAGGATTAAATAGTCCACCTGGTGATCGCCTGGGATGGGATGCAGGTGTGGGGTTAGCAGCCACGCCCACGGGCGTGGGCATCCCATCAGCACCCCGGACGCCGGGCTGTGGACCATGACAATATTGAAGAAACAATTTGAGGGTTCATTAAAATATTCAATTAAATTCAATTTTATTTACATAGCGCCAAATCACAACAATAGTCACCTCAAGGTGCTTTATATTGTAGGTAGACCCCTATCCGGTTGTTCAGTGATGACGCGACGAATCCTACTTCCGGGCCTAAAGTAGTCTGCGTTTGATATAGCTTTTGTGTTGTTAATGTTTAATGTTATGTATTTTCTTCTATTTGATCTCAAAAAGCTCCTAAAACAGTCAGTGATCACTGTTGACCTCCCTCGGCTTTTATTACCACTAATCATTTATTTAAGCTCAGTTTTTAAAACCTTAGGATGTAACTACAGCCCAGCCCATGCAGCAGCATATGAACGACTAACCTCGTATTGTGGATGGATTATCTCAGTTGTTCTGGCTGAAGTTTGGTCCTTTTACAGCATCCTGCCATGCGATTACATTTGTTCCTGACCACCGAGAACACTCACGTTAACTTTTATCAAGTGGAAAAAAAGTTAGCTTGTTTATATTATGCTAACATAGCTATGTCGCTAGCGGTCACGTAGCAAATCATTATATACCAGCTAGCCAAACTTCAGTAACCCTACAAACGTCACTGCTGTTTAGCTTTCTGTCTTCATTTATGCTGGAAGTGATAGCAGAGCTGTACGTTTTAATTTGTTTCCAAAACCCCGCAGTCAGGACATGTTATATTGTATTTAGATAGAAGCTAGCGAGCTAACTCCCTGCTAACTTCTAACTCCGTTAAATGTCATAAATTCCGTTTCATGGATGCCTGGATGTTAAACTCAATTGTTACACCTGGTAGAGCAGAACGCTGATCATTTTATTAAAGATGAAAGACTTTAGACAGTTTTTCAACTCTCAGTAATGCCACAGTGATCGTTTGATATATGGACCTGCAGCGGAGTTTAGACCCAGACACGGCTAGTGACGTCAGACTGAACAACCGGATATCATATCACTTAATCTGAAATGTGGGACCTCCAGTGCCTTTTCATTTGGAAAAGAACTCTGTTATTACTCTACTAGCCCAATCCCCCAAAATGTGGCATCAATAAAAGCCCAGCGTGTCCCCTCGACACCACAGTAGGACTCAGATTGCATAGATTCTGGTTGATGTAGAGGTTCATGTCCTTCACAGAGGACACAAATGAATTGCGGCCTTTTAAGAGAATATAGTGTTTTTTCTATTTTAATAACTGCAAAGAATGCAAACTTCTGTGACTGCTGTGAGGCGACAGAACTAACCACTGCACCCGACCTTGTGTCCGTGTCAAGCCACCCTCTGTACCACTGTGCAAAATGTTAAAATATTTTTGTTTACTTTGGATAACTTAAGGAAAACTCTTTAAATGTCGGGCTTTAGGGTTTTTTGCTGCCCTGTCTGTATCGTTGTCTTTAATGTTTTAAAATGCCTTTGCTTCATTTCCAGTGGATTTCCACACACTGAAAATACTGCTTTCCACTGAATATTCAGTTCCAAAAACATGTAATCAAGATGAAGATGTATATGACTTTCCTCTGCTTGAGCTGTGGATGGATGCAAACAACTTGTGCTGCTAGTGTGACTCTGTCACCATCCTCTGCACCAGTGACACCCACTCAAGATGAGAGCTCCAAACTTGTGGTAATAGAAACCATACAACTATTGATGGGAAATTAATAATATCTTTACCAACTCTCTCATATATTACATTGGTAGTGAGCTTTATATATAATATAGATACAGGACTGCAGGATAGAAATGGAAGAAGAACACCCTGTTAAAGAGATCATTTACCCCCTTTGTTAGGATTGGCTGATGAAGTATGGTTACCTCCCACCCTCAGACCCTTCCACCGGTCAGCTGCAGGCTTGGACAGGTGTCACCAGTGCTGTGAGGGCCATGCAAAGGTTTGCAGGCCTAAAAGACAGCGGAGTTGTAGGTGAGGAATACAGATGGTGTCTTAAAAAGATGTTTATGCTGCTTCTCAAATCTAGTGTTCTCTGTGTGATTGGATAGAGTCTGTTCTCTGGTGTCCAGATGAGGAGACAATGGCGGTGATGAACACGCCACGCTGCTCACTACCGGACCAGGAGGAATCATCCAACCAAGAGAAAATAAATATGAGGAGGCGGAGAAGATGGGCTGTCTCCATGTGGACGCGCAGGAACATCAACTGGAGGTGGGATAAAACTTGCGAGGAGACTGTGATCAGTTCGATGTAGTAGTTCACAATGGCTTCCTATTGTCAGTAAGCTGTGCTTGGTGAAGTATCTGCCACTCGGTGAGGTCTTTGCGTCTATCTTACCTCGTCAGGTTGCAATCATATCCCTCCTCTTCTCATCTGTCTCGGGAAACAATTCGCTCACTTATCTTCTACGCTTTAAGAGTGTGGGCCGAGCCAACGCCACTGGAGTTCCATGAGGTTTGTCAGATGCCACTTTTGACTAGAACTAGCCAAAGTCACACAGTCGATGAGTTTCATTCATTCTGTTTCCAGGTGGGCAGTCCGGATGCAGCTGACCTGCGGGTAGACTTCTTCCATGGTTACCATGGTGATGACTACCCCTTTGATGGGGCAGGTGGAGCAGTAGGCCACGCTTTCTTCCCCTCAGACCCAGCCCGGGCAGGAGTAGTTCATTTGGATGCGGAGGAAGAGTGGGCATTCAGACAGCCAGGTAGAACAACACTTCAAAAACATAAAAGTCTAACCTTTTATGAGTCTTTTAATAATAATAATAATAATAATAATAATGGATACTTTATTGATCCCCATGGGGAAATTACTTGTTTTTCTCTGCATTTGACCCATTCACTCAGTGAAGCAGTCTTTTGTCTTGTGTCTTCACATGGTGTAGATTAATGCAGCTTGGTGACCAAGCTTGACAGTGCTAGGCGGTAACTCAGTTATGGTCCTTTCTTGCTCCAAAGTTGCCAAATGGCAGTGGACAAAACAATAACACTGAGTCCAAAACCAGTGAGCTTTGGACCACAATGCTACCTCCATACACTCTATGGCCATACTATCCGGTTGTTCAGTGATGATGCGACGAATCCTACTTCCGGGTCTAAAGTAGTGTGCGTTTAATATGGCTTTTGTGTTGTTAACATGTTTAATGTTTTGTATTTTCTTCTATTTGATCTCAAAAAGCTCCTAAAACAGTCAGTGATCACTGTTGACCTCCCTCGGCTTTTATTACCGCTAATCATTTATTTAAGCTCAGTTTTTAAAACCTTAGGATGTAACTACAGCCCAGCCCATGCAGCATGATATAAGTGACTAACCTCGTATTGTGGATGGATTATCTCAGTTGTTCTCCTGGCTGAAGTTAGGTCCTTTTACAGCATCCTGCCATGCGATTACATTTGTTCCTGACCACCGAGAACACTCACGCTAACTTTTATTGAGTGGAAAAAAAGTTAGCTTGTTTATATTATGCTAACATAGCTGTGTCGCTAGCGGTCACGTAGCACATCATTATATACCAGGTAGCCCAACTTCAGTAACCCTACAAACGTCACTGCTGTTTAGTTTTCTGTCTTCATTTATGTTGGAAGTGATAGCAGAGCTGTACGTTTTAATTTGTTTCCAAACCCCGCAGTCAGGACATGTTATATTGTATTTAGATAGAAGCTAGCGAGCTAACTCCGTGCTAACTTCTAACTCCGTTAAATGTCATAAATTCCGTTTTCATGGATGCCTGGATGTTAAACTCAGTTGTTACACCTGGTAGAGCAGAATGCTGATCATTTTATTGAAGATGAAAGACTTTAGACAGTTTTTCAACTCTCAGTAATGCCACAGTGATCGTTTGATATATGGACCTGCATCGGAGTTTAGGTCCAGACTCGGCTAGTGACGTCAGACTGAACAACCGGATACCAGTAAACCATGACTTGTTTCTCTTCTTCTTCTAATCAGGTCATCATTTTGTTTTCTGTTCCTCCTCTTCTGTTTCCTTCCCAGTCTCTGAGGGTACCGACCTGTTCACAGTGCTGGTTCATGAGTTTGGCCACGCACTGGGCCTTCCTCATTCCTCATCCCGTCACTCAGTCATGAGGCCATACTACCTGGGTCCTGTCGGAGACCCTCTCCACTACCGCCTGGGACCCCAAGACCTGGAGCACATCACTCAGCTCTATGGTGAAGCTTCTCACACCATGATTTAATCATTAATATTGATTATAGTTGATGTGTGAGGATGTGTAAACTAGACTGAATGTAAAATTTCAGTATTAGCACACATAGGATAATATAAAGTTTGATGTAAAAGGATAAACACTGAAGTGCAGTTTAAAGGATGGATGAGGACAGCTGTGAAATAGCTCCCTGGTCTGACCTCTGGTGTGTTTATTGAGGAAGGACAGAATTAGTTTCTTCACAGCTTTAGCCTCCACATTCAGCGAAGACTCTCATGAAAGCCTCATACTGTAAAATATAAAAACGAGGAAATGTCTGACTGCGCTGTTGCTCAGAAACCATTCTTAACTTTTTTCAGTTCATTTTGCTTTTGCATAATGTCATGAATGCTTGACAGGCAAACCGCTGTGTCTGTGGATATTCAAGCTTCTGCCCACATGTTCCAAAAAATACATCCTTCCACTCAGTGTCGTTCCAGGTTCATTAACTATATTTGCATCTCGGGTTTAACAATTTGTCATTGTGAAAATTTACTAACCACAATCCATTTTTTAATGTTTGGTACTTAAACTAATGAACATGTAAAATATATTATTCATTGGCACAACATTTTATACTAAGGTCTGTGGCTCCTAGAAGTTAAACTTGAATATCTTTGCCACAGATATGATATGGAATTGTATCTGTGGTTTTAAGTGAAATGCAAAACTATCGTCTGACAAGTAGTTTATAAATGAATAATTTCACAATATGAAGCACGCTGGAGAGGAAACAAGCCTTTCTGTAAAATACTTGGTTACCAAATACTGTGGCAATAGTTTGGGACATTGAACTGTGTTGTACTAACCTTCTAAAATGAAGCTAAATGAGTAATCATCACAGTAGGCTGGGCTTAACCAAGCATGTGTGACACACTGGAAGTGACAGTAGCTCTGGCTGTGTCCCACCAACCTGCAGTTGTCAAGGGCGAGAATGCGGTGGACTCAAGAGCAGACTCAATTTGCTTAGAACTGTGTATAATTTATTGAAAAGAACAAAACGTGAACGGAACTGGGTTTAACAGAATCCATACGCAGAAACTAAAGGAAATCCGTGGGCGGAGAAACCGGCGTAGAGCACGGGGAAACTTCTAACGGGAACTTCTGTAAACACAGGAGAGAGATGTTACTGAATGGGAAAAAACGAGTAAGGGACAGAGGTACGGAGTGCCAGTGGATAGTCTTGGGCTTACTTGGAGACCCTAGTTATTAGGCGGGGAAAAGGCTGCCATGGGTGTATTCCAGAGAGGGTCAAGAGTGGAGAGTCCGGTCCAGATTCCGAGGAGGTGGAGAATACAGACTGAAGGGCAGGCTGAGGAGAAGTGGAGTATATAATCCTCGGGTTCCGAGCAGACGGGAGAACAGGATGGAGACCAAAACAGCACTACTGGTGAGTGCGATGGGTGGAGAATCACAGATGGTAGCAGGACGAACTGGCGAGGAGTGGCAGGCCGTGCTGGCTTAAAAACCCTCTAGGTGGAGCCCCGGAGATTGACAACAGGTGATGAGCTGGCCAACTCCACTCCCAGGGACAAATGACAGGAACCTGGACCACGCCCAACCAGACACTCCCACAGCATATGACAGTACCTCCCCTCAAGGGCCGCCACCCGGCGACCCCCAGACCGGGCCCTGCGAGGGGAGGAACGAAACGCAGCAATCAGGGACGGGTCCAGAATGAGCGACCGGGGAACCCAAGAACGCTCCTCAGACCCATACCCCTCCCAGTCCACCAGGTACTGGACACCACGACCACGGCGGCGCACGTCAACGATCCGCCGGACCGAATAGGCCGGATGACCGTCCACGAGCCGGGCGGGAGGCGGGGGAACAGACGGCGGACACAGAGGACTGCTACGGACCGGCTTGACCTGAGAGACGTGAAACGTCGGGTGGACGCGCCAGGAGGCCGGGAGCCTGAGACGGACCGCCGAGGGGCCGACGACAGCAGTGATCACATAGGGGCCAACATAGCGGGGAGCCAACTTCCGAGAAAGCGACCGCAAGTGAATGTCCTTAGCACAAAGCCACACCCGTTGTCCAGGCCGATACGCCGGAGCGACAGAGCGGCGACGATCCGCATAATCCCGTTGCCGGTCGACAGTTGCAAGGAGAGCCCGTCGGACCCTCCGCCACACCCGCCGGCAGCGTCGAAGGTGATGCTGGACCGAAGGAACAGCCAAATTCGTCTCATCCTCTGGGAACAACGGTGGCTGATACCCAGCGAGGCCTCAAAGGGCGACAAACCCGTTGCCGAAGACGTGAGAGAATTATGGGCATACTCCACCCAAGGCAACTGAGACGACCAGGCAGCCGGGTGCAGTGACGAGACGCAGCGAAGAGCGGATTCCAACTCCTGGTTCAAACGCTCAGTCTGGCCATTGGTCTGCGGATGGAAACCAGAACTCAAGTTGGCCTTGGCACCCAGGGCCGTACAGAAGGCCCTCCACACTCGGGAGACAAACTGAGGCCCCCTGTCAGACACAATCTCCGAGGGTATGCCATGAAGACGGAACACATGGTCTGTAAGGATCTGGGTGGTCTCTGCAGCCGTCGGCAGCTTGTCCAGGGCCACGAAGTGAGCCGCCTTGGAAAACCGATCAACTATGGACAGAACCACCGTCTTCCCCGAAGAGGCTGGGAGGCCGGTAACAAAATCCAAGGCGATATGAGACCAAGGCCTATGCGGGGTACTCAGCGGTCGGAGTAAGCCAGACGGGGGCCGATTAGAGGTCTTGTTATGGGCACAAACGGAACAGGCAGCCACATAAGCCTTCACATCCTTGTCCATAGAACGCCACCAGAAATACCTCTTCAACAGAGCCGTGGTCCTACTCACTCCCGGATGGCAAGTAAACTGGGCTGTATGGATCCAATGGATAACAGCCGACCGGGCGGCAGAGGGCACAAAACGCCGACCGGGCGGGCCAGTTCCCGGATCAACGTCGTCCCGTAGTCCTTGGCGTATAGCCTCCTCCACATCCCAGGTGAGGGAGCCAATCCTGCAGGTGGAAGGGAGAATGAGCTCCGGGTCCCGGGAGTCCGAGTCCGAGGAGTACTGGCGAGACAGAGCATCGGGTTTAAGATTCCTGGAACCCGGCGATAGGAATATCAAAGTTAAATCGGGCAAAGAAAAGGGACCACCGAGCCTGGCGGGAGTTCAGTCTCTTAGCCGTTCTGAGATAAGTCAGATTCTTGTGATCTGTCCAGATGATAAATGGATGTTCCGTCCCCTCCAGCCAGTGGCGCCACTCCTCCAAAGCCAACTTAATGGCCAGTTCGTTCTGTCAAGGGCGAGAATGCGGTGGACTCAAGAGCAGACTCAATTTGCTTAGAACTGTGTATAATTTATTGAAAAGAACAAAACTTGAACGGAACTGGGTTTAACAGAAACCATACGCAGAAACTAAAGGAAATCCGTGGGCGGAGAAACCGGCGTAGAGCACGGGGAAACTTCTAACGGGAACTTCTGTAAACACAGGAGAGAGATGTTACTGAATGGGAAAAAACGAGTAAGGGACAGAGGTACGGAGTGCCAGTGGATAGTCTTGGGCTTACTTGGAGACCCTAGTTATTAGGCGGGGAAAAGGCTGCCATGGGTGTATTCCAGAGAGGGTCAAGAGTGGAGAGTCCGGTCCAGATTCCGAGGAGGTGGAGAATACAGACTGAAGGGCAGGCTGAGGAGAAGTGGAGTATATAATCCTCGGGTTCCGAGCAGACGGGAGAACAGGATGGAGACCAAAACAGCACTACTGGTGAGTGCGATGGGTGGAGAATCACAGATGGTAGCAGGACGAACTGGCGAGGAGTGGCAGGCCGTGCTGGCTTAAAACCTCTAGGTGGAGCCCCGGAGATTGACAACAGGTGATGAGCTGGCCAACTCCACTCCCAGGGACAAATGACAGGAACCTGGACCACGCCCAACCAGACACTCCCACAGCATATGACAGCAGTGGTTCTTAGACTGTCAGGTGGGCCCCTTTAGTGGTGCATGGAGCCAACCGCAGAAGGAGCATTGAAGAACCAGTCAGTATAACCCAAAATGGATCACCGTGAACTCAGCAGGGAAGTGTTTGCAGAGGTCAGGAATGACGTTTTCCTATGGACCATATAGTGCTGCAAGACTTTTTATATCTATCACTGGCTGCTGCCCTTTAGATAGAAGCAGATTTGAGGCATTTCTGCATTGGCTAAATTTTTCCATTGAGAATCTACGTTTATGTCCAGTTAAATGGGGTTTAAGTCTGGAGACTGTGCTGGCCATCACCATCTTGTGATGTCTTCGGTAGTCAAAACATGACATCACTGTTTTGTACATTTTAGCACAATTTAATCCCACATTTGTGAAAGAAAAGCAAAACACTTTTTTGCAAAGTCTGTAACAAAACCATCAAATCTGATAAAGGTTATTTAAAAGCTGCAAAAGAAGAATGGATTGGAATAATAAAAATATGTATCCTAGCCTTAATTACTGGTTTATTAATAATGAATGATGCTCATAGTGAGTAAAAAGTAAACTGAGTGCATTTTTTGGACAGAGATTCACTTTTAATGCGTTTGTATAATATAATACAGATACATGAAAAACACTCCCAAAACAGAATAAATTGTTACAAATAAAAATCTTTACTGCAGACACTAATTTTACTAATTTAATAATAATAATTTTGTGTTGTAAGATTTATGGGTTTGTCTTATCCTGAAATCTTACTGATGGCTCTCTTCCTGCAGCTCGAAGTTTCTCTTCACAGCTTCTCTTCTCCACAGGGGCGGAGGGGGAATTTAGTTTTTTTTTAAAGCTTTTCCATTTAAATTGTTGTGATTTTTGATTTAGGCCAAATGAACAAGCTGCTGTCTACGGAGGCTCCTCGTATCACCACAGAGTTGCACCACAGAGGCCATCATCATCATCGTCGTCAGCATCATCATAGGCATGGGTATGACTTACTGAGAGATTTTTCTGTTAATAACAATCATATTAATATTATCATTATTAATAATAATACATTTAAGAATAAATAAAATCATAAGACTATAAAAAAAATAAAAAGCAGAGGATTCATGTGACAGGATGAGTAATTAAACCCATTTAAAGGAGTGTGTTTTGAGACGGGATGTGAAGATGGAGAGAGTCAGAGTTCTGAATGTCTGGCGAGATGGAATTCCAGAGGCGAGGAGCAGAGCAGCAGAAGGTCTAGATCCCATAAAAGCCAAACGGGGGAAGGGACGTTCACACGGACAGAAGGAGACAAAAACTCTTTGTCATAAATATGCTAGATGGCTACAAGAATTCTTACTGTGTGCCTCTTTTCTTCCATATTTTTGCAAAATCATCTAATATCAGTATTAAGATTTTAAATTTAATTTCAGCCACCAAAGATATTTACATAAACAAGCTAGATAAACAATAGATAGATTTTGTAAACAGGAAAATGTTTACAGTGCTAAGTTAACAGCTAATGCTAGCAAGTTCCGCCTGAAACAGCTACAACAGACAGACATTCGTTACCATCTGAGGACAGCGGCGAGTCTAGGATCAGAGCTTTGGGGGTGCTGAGCACCCAGAGAGCTGCCCAGCCAGGCAGATAAATCATAAGATTCTTAAATTCATCAAGTCACTCTGTGCCTGGGTCCTCGTCTCAAAACATGACGTCACTGTTTTGTACATTTTAGCACAATTTAATCCCCACATTTGTGAAAGAAAAGCAAAACACTTTTTTGCAAAGTCTGTAACAAAACCATCAAATCTGATAAAGGTTATTTAAATGCTGCAAAAGAAGAATGGATTGGAATAATAAAAATATGTATCCTAGCCTTAATTACTGGTTTATTAATAATGAATGATGCTCATAGTGAGTAAAAAGTGAACTGAGTGCATTTTTTGGACAGAGATTCACTTTTAATGCGTTTGTATAATATAATACAGATACATGAAAAACACTCCCAAAACAGAATAAATTGTTACAAATAAAAATCTTTACTGCAGATACTAATTTTACTCATTTAATAATAATAATTTTGTGTTGTAAGATTTATGACTTTCATGCTTTCATAGTGGTCCTTAGGAGAGCTTGACATTTTTATCAGGTGGTCCACACTGTAAAAAGTGTGAGAAACACTGACAAGTGTGTGTGTGCTTTTGGAAAACATTTAAAGCTGCTGTACAGAATCTTTGAAACAAGCTTAAAACATTTGTAGAAACAGAGCATCTGCTTCTCTTTACAGCTGCTCGCTCCACCAGGGCTGTTTGGCTCTTTCTGATAGTGAGCACATGTGATGTACGTACATGCAGCAGTCATACAGACAACTGGACGGTCCAAAGGTTGGCCTCCCTATTACTGGCTGAGGTTTTAGTAGAGTTGTGGCTGAACCACATAAAAATATATCATTAATTTTAATCTCCCCGATCAATGATAATGTTATGTTGGAATGTTGTTAAAGAGGCTCAGAAATGTTTCAAACCAGTTTGTTTAGCAGATTCTGTACAGCAGCTTTAATATAGGGAGGACACAACTTCCAGACTGTGAGTAAAATCAGGTTTTTTCCTCTTTGTCAGTTTAACAGTTGCTGTTGTGCCTGTCACTGCTCCCTGTCTGTTTGCTTACCTGGTTCTTCCTGACCTTGTTCTTTCTCCTCACGTTCCCTCTTTCCTCTCTCCCTCTTTGGACTGACAATCATACACAAATATATTGTATTCAATTAGATGATAAATTACATTAATATGAAAAAAATACTATTAAGATCACTAACAAAAAGTCCTCTCTCAGTGTACTTTCAACCAAAAGGAAAATAACCAAACCACACAAACATCTAATAAAAGATAAATATTGAAACACTGATCCAACATTATTCTTGATTGACGGATCATTTGATTTTACACTTTTACCTGAATGTGGCTCCTTTTAAAAAAAATAATAAAAAAACTTCCTTATATTCATTATGAACCTGGCTGTCTGTCTGTACAAAAAATGGTAAATGGCCTGTATTTGTATAGCACTTTACTGGATGTGTAAAGCGCTATACTAAAGCGCTTTACACATCCAGTCATTCACCCAGTCACACACACATTCACACACTGGTGATGGCAGCTACATTGTAGCCACAGCCACCCTGGGGCGCACTGACATGTCAGTTGATTCATGGGGCGATTTTAGCCCATTTTTGGGCTAAATTCGCCCCTGTCTCAGGACAAAGAGTATGGCTGTGCTGTCTACTACTGTTAACCAAATGAAACCCCGACATTCCTTTAACAAGTATCCCTGTGTGCTTCTGCCCTTCAGCCCCTCCATAGATCACTGTAACACCAGTTTGATGCTGTGGCAAAGATTCGAGGAGAAACTTTCTTCTTCAAAGGTCTGAAAACAGATTTTTATAAATGTAGTTTATGTAGTTTAACTATGGAAGATGTATCTATAGTAACAGGATACCACAATTCATTATTTTCATTGGGTCATCGCTTCAGGTCCGATGATGTGGAGGGTCAATGGCGGAGGCTTGGTGTCGGGGCGCGGTTCTTCAGTGAGGAGGTTGTGGAGGGGTCTACCCCCTGACCTGCTTCATCTTCAAGCTGTGCTGGAGAGGCGCTCGGATCATGCGATCATCTTTATCAGTGGTGCAGTACAGTAACCTACTTGTGAGAGGGGTAAAACGGTGTAAAGGCCACAACAGTCAGTGCAGATTACGCACCATAACTGGCTATTAAAATCGTTACTGAAACTGTTTAAAAAATCTAAGAAGATTCCTTATTTCTTTATTTCTGTAACAATTGATTGACGTGAGTTTTTTTAGCTCATATCTCTTCTAGCCTTTACATTTTGCACACTGAAGTACACTGAATGTGTTCTTCAAAATTGTCTTTTCATAGAATTTGCCTATAGCCATTCCTGAATTACTTTTCAAGCAAGCAGTGATACGTTTGAGAGATAGTGATGTCTTCAGAAAGCAGAACTTGTTGAGATTTATGAGATTATTACTTACTTCCTGCTACTTTCAGAAGACCTACATGCACCTGTCCTATAGCTTCTTTGAACATCTCCTACAGTTTGGCTGTAGATTACATTCTCTATAACCAAAATACTTTTAGCATAGTTAAGGACTAAATTCTCCAGCATCAAAACTGATGTGTCCAATTATTAAACTTTATCTGGCCTTGGATGTGGCTTCAGGTTTTTAAACCTTTCCTTCTTATTTCTTTGGCAACAGACATCCACTGCCTAGAACATGCATGCAATGATAAAGTGAGAGTGTAAATACAAAATAATACATCAAAGCAGTCACAGTGGACAAGCTTAAACCTTTTTGAAACAATCGATGGTGTTCACTGCGAATCATCGAACTGGCTTACTAACCTTTTCATGTGACGTCTCGCTGCAGGTCACCAGTTCTGGCTCTTCAAGGACCTGTCTCTGCAAGAAGGTTACCCTCAGCCCCTGTCTGCTCTCAGGACGGGCGTCAGCTTAGATTTAGCAGACACTGATAACGACGATGATGACGAGCAGGCAGCAGGAGCATTAGAGAGATGGGGCCTGGTCTGGGACCCGGAGGAGGGGGCTGTGTGGGGAAAAATTGGAGATGCCAAACAAGAGAATCAAGGAGACACCTGGACACAACTGCTCAAAGAGGGTGTGAATGGAATCACTACAGACACTAATGGTGAGGATCTGATTCATGTGTGAGATCTTTCTATTAAAGGATCAAATAAACGGACAAAGTTGACTTAATTTAACTAGAACCAGACTAAATTCAGTGAAGTTTCTTTTATTTCTCTCCAGGCTCTGTCTATCTCTTTAAAGGAGAGTCCTACTGGAAGTTCATGTTTCCAGGTTCATCACTGCATGATGGATACCCACGATCCTCTGCTGCAGACTGGCTGGGCTGCACTGACTCATCCTCACCTGGGATGCAGGACCTCTCCTTTTCACTGTCATCACCTGGAGGAAGAGAGGAGCTCAGGGAGAGTTGGAGATATCGGGGAGAGGAGGAAGAACTGATAAAAAGAAAGCGGGTCAGAGACGGAACTAAACACAAAGAGGTGCTGGACAGAGGTTCACACATCTGGACAAAATGCACATGCCGAAACGGAGCCCTGGGGGGCAGGACAACATTTTTGATAGCTGCCTTGCTGCAGGTTACATGGGCACTGTTAGCTGTTTAAAGGTGCACAATGAAAGAAAAAACTGAGGTTTTATTAGACTAAACAGAGTGTGTGTACAACCTTTCCACAAGCACTCGCATCCTCGCCCTGTACTCCTGTCTGAGTGTGAGATTAGAAATGTGCTGCTGGTTTCAGGTAGCAGCGGTGCTAATTACGAGTGCTATTTTAATTAGGAGGCATATTTATTTACCTGTCCACCAGTCATCCGGTCATATTGTGAGTTATGACCAGAAAACTGGTTCCATCTGTGAAGGACTGAAGTTGCCAAAATCAATTATTAACAAAAACAACAATAATAAATAATAATAATAATCACGCAGACATTAACTGACTGATAATTTGACATGCTTGTATTTACAGATATCAGTGTTTTAAATGTATGTATGGATCTCTGTATTACTTTTACATTCGTACTTTACAGCAATACTAATCTATCCCAGGCATCACAGACACCACACTAGAAAATGAAAGTGGTTTGGGGAAGTTAAAATTAAAGAGATCATTTTTAATATCATTTTGATAATATTTTAATTTCAGTTTGACCAGTTTCACCCCAAACCCACCGTAGCTTTTAAACTAAGTTTCTCTTTATACAGACAAAAAGTGGAGTAGTGGCTTTATTAAGTGGTTTTATTATTTCACCTTCCTGGTTAATTTCTCTTATTGCCGTCCCATAGGTGACAGTCTGCAAGCACACACTGTTTAAAAATAAGGATAAAAATCTATGAAGAAGGAGAATAAATGACATTATTATTATTTTTTATCAAAGCCTAAGTTTACTGCAGTTGAACACAACCTCCAACAGGGCAGTCAGTGATGGAGGTAGCCTTTAGCATGCAGCAGATTTGAGCAGTGTAAATGTACACCAACCAATTTGCACTTTTAATAACTCAAAGGGCAGCTGACCCTGACTCAGGTGACATCACTTAAGGACAGCTATCAAACTTAAAAACATTATCCTGCCACGTTTCAGGTTCAAGGGTCTTTATTCGTCACATGCATAGTTATAACACACAATCAAATGTAACCTGACACGCTCCTTGACTTGAGCAAAAGGGGGGGGGGACATTATATAATATAACATATACATTAGGTGGATGTGCAGTAGTAGCATGTATGCAGCAAGCAGGTAAAGTCTGTACATTAAGTGAATTAAATAAGAACGGACAATCGCTTCTGAACACATAACAACACACGAGAGAAATAGTTTGAGCTCTATTTTCTGACCATTTATTTTTACCCATTTTCCATTCATCTTAACAGCATTTACATAAACTATGCATTTTAATGGTGCACGTGTGATGTACTCTCTTAGAAAAAGCATTTCTTACTGCGTCTTCCCTCCTCTGTCTTTTGTTGTTAGAGGTTGTTGTTCTGGCCTGCTGCTGCTATTTCACATGCTTTTTACTTAGTTCGATGTGCTTATGAGCCCTTCTGTTATTTAAAGACTGCCTGCTTGTTCTGAACTCTGATTTTGATCATGATATTCCTGTAAATAGGGTTTGAAATGAAGTAACTGAAATATGTCAACTTTTGTCAAAGCATTCTGCAGCTGCTGCTTCAACTCCATAATCCACAACAAATGGGGAATATAGTAGAAAAAAATGATCAGTAACTCTAAATGTGTTTTATATTTGAGATTCCTGAAAGGAGCCACGCTTTGCTTTGTTGACAGTGCAAACCCTTGCACTTTTCTCACTGAGCTTCATGACGTTGTCACCTGAAATGGTTTCACCCCACAGGTTTGCCTTGTCAGGGTTCATCTCTGGAATTTCTTGCCTTCTTCATGGGATTTGGGATCATCAGTGCAGAAGTCAGGTTGGTACACAGCTGGCGGCCCTATTTAACAACTGTTAGAATTCATATTATGGCAAGAACCAATCAGGTTTCTTGTGAATGCTTCCAGTGACAATAGCCATCTGCAGCCACAAGATGGCAGGTATGTAAAGGATAGATACAAACAGACAAGGAGCTTTATGATGCTGAAATGAAAGGTGAGACATCATTTTTACTGTAGTACATTTTAGTTTATGACTATTTTTAGATTTGATTAGGCAGTCAGTCCTTGCCTTCCTTGTCTTAACAGAGCGCCGCTGTATCGTAGGACTGGTTAGAGTCTGATGTTGTACCTGGTATCTGCAGGACCCACTCTTCCAGTTTGTGGGTTACAGCTCCTTTACCACTGGGACTGCTGTTTCCCATGGTACTTCTCTATTTTCTCATGAACATTTTTCCTGATGTTGGTGCCGTAATGCTTGAATGGGTTGGAAGATTATGGCATCGAGTTAAAAGGGGTTTCAGGTTACATCGTAAGCTACTACATAGAGGTCTAAATCAAGCATTCCAGTGTCTATGGATGTCTATGGATGTCTATGGATGGGGCATTTGAGAACATAAAATACCTTTCCAAAGAAACACACCCCTGCTGGGATAATAAGATGGACAAAGGAGGAGATAGAAGCCACCAACATCAAGACCAGGAAGCTCCTGACCATGCATGGAGGGTTTCACCCTAAGTCCAGCACCCTGAGGCTGTACGCTAAGCAGAAATCCTTCCAGTGGCTGGACAAAGCTGGACTGAAAGACAGCACAGTGGCACTAATCATGGCAGCACAGGAACAAGCTCTGAGCACAAGATCCATAGAGGCTGGGGTCAGACCCCACACTGTAAAATCTAATTAGTTCCCAGAACTCAAAAAAATTGGGGAAACTCGTTGACTCAAAAAAATTGAGTAAAGCTTAGCTAAAAATGACTAAATTAGGACAACTTATTTATTTTGAGTACTCTGTACAAGCTCATTTGTTCCCAGAACTCAAAAAAATTGGATCAAGTTTACGTAAGATGACCAAGTTAGGGCAACTTACTCATTTTGAGTACACTGTACAGCCTTGTTAGTTCCCAGAACTCAAAAAAATTAAGGAAACTCGTTGCCTCAAAAAAGTAAAGCTTACTTAAGATGACTGTTAGGACGACTTATACAGTGCAAGTCTGCAGTATTAAGAATAACTTGATATTTCTGACTGTACAATACTAATTGTTTACTTACTGACAAACATTTCAAGTTCAACTAAATGAAATATGATCAGAACCTGCCTCCCCCCCTACTCTGGACCCACACCAATTCACATACCGGACACTGAGGAGGCCATAGCCATCGCACTCCACACAGCACCGAGCCACCTGGAACAACAGGGGAACTATGTCAGAATGCTCTTCATCGACTTCAGCTCTGCCTTTAACACAATCATTCCAGACATTTTGATCACCAAGTCAGCCAGCCTGGAGCTCCCGCCATCCACCTGCTCTTGGATAAAGGACTTCCTGGTCAACAGACCCCAGCGGGTGAAACTGGGTCCTCACCTCTCTTCCCCTCACACTCTCAGCACCAGCTCCCCCCAGGGCTGTGTACTAAGCCCACTACTCTACTCCCTCTACACATATGACTGCAGTCCCGCTCACCCAGAGAACAGCATTGTCAAATTTGCTGATGACACAACAGTGATGGGGCTGATCACAGGAGGAAATGAGGTGGCTTACAGAGATGAGGTCCTGAGACTAGGAGAATGGTGTGCATCAAACAACCTGGCACTTAACATCACCAAGACCAAAGAACTCATCCTGGACTTCAGGAACAGAACTGCCCCTGCCCCCACTGCACATCAACGGAGAATGTGTAGAGCAAGTGGAGTCCTTCAAATTCCTTGGCGTCCACACTGCAGACCTCTCCTGGGCAGCTAACACCACGGCCCTAGTCAAGAAAGCCCAGAAGCGGCTACACTTCCTAAGGGTGCTCAGGAAAGTGCAACTAAACTGCTGCTGGTGACCTTCTACAGATCCACCATCAAGAGCCTGCTGACCTGTGCAGTGACAGTGTGGCACGCCAGCTACAGAGGGTGGTAAACACAGCACAAAAAATCATCGGCTGCCCATGTGTGGGCGATCGTGGCTCAAGAGTTGGGAGTTCGCCTTGTAATCGGAAGGTTGCCGGTTCGAGCCCCGGCTCCGACAGTCTCGGTCGTTGTGTCCTTGGGCAAGACACTTCACCCGTTGCCTACTGGTGGTGGTCAGAGGTCCCGGGGGCGCCAGTGTCCAGCGGCCTCGCCTCTGTCAGTGCGCCCCAGGGTGGCTGTGGCTACAATGTAGCTGCCATCACCAGTGTGTGTGAATGGGTGAATGACTGGATGTGTAAAGCGCTATACAAATACAGGCCATTTACCATTTGTCTGCTGTCTACAACTCCCGTTGTCTTAGTAGGTCCAGAAAGATTTTAAAGGACACTACCCACCCCGGCTGCCATCTTTTCAACCTCATGCCCTCTGGCAGGCGCTATAGATCCATAAGGGCCAGAACAAACAGACTCAGGGACAGCTTCTTCCCCAAAGCCATCACCGTACTCACCTCAAACTTGTACAAAAAGCAATCTGCACTGAAATATCATCAACTCTCTGCCGGTCTGTCTCTGTCAGTACTGTACTGTGTATTTATATTTATAGTAAGTGTATATTTAAATTATTGTATAGTCTTTATAATGTGCTATAAGCACGTGTGCACTTTTATAGAGCCGTTTCTAATTTCGTTATACTATGTATAATGACAAAGGCTTTCAACTTTCAACTTAATCGGAGCACTAGGTGCGGTGACTCCCAAGCTAGGCGAGTGGCTCCAGCAGATCCCGGGAACAACATCGAAGATCTCTGTCCAGAAGAGCGCAGTCCTGGGAACAGCTAAGATACTGCAGGACCCTCAAACTCCCAGGCCTCTGGTAGAGGACCCAAATCACCTGCAGGTGCGAGAGGGGAAAAACTTTCTTTTTTGTTCTTTTTATAGATTTTCAGTTGGATTCAGGTCAGGCGATTGGCTGGGCCATTCGCGCAACTTTATTTTTTATTCCTCTGAAACCATTTAAGAGTTTTCTTGGCTGGTCTTGGGTCATAATCTTCCTGAAACGTCTTTGTTTCATCTTCATCATGAAGATGGCAGCAGATTTTATTCCCTTCAATTATATGAAGTGTGCCTTTGCCATGTGCTTCAAGATGCTGTTGAAGACTCTACAGAGTCTTGGGTGGTGAGCATACATACACAGGGAAATCTAATTTGTCCACAGAACTGGGGGGGAAATTATGCAAAAAGTAAAGTTTAAAAAATGAACTTAAAATAACTAAGTTAGCACAACATTGTGAGTAAACAGTACTGAGAATAACTTGATTCTTCTGAGTGAGCAAAACTAAATGTTTGCCGTCTTGACGCATGCTCAATCATCCAAGTAACTCTCCAGAAGTTAATT